ACATGCCTTTCAGGCCTCTTATTGTGACTCTTTCCAGGCAACACTGCTTCCCCCTCTCCAGGCCACACACCTCACTGGCTGTTCTTTGCATCCTCCTTGAGCATTTTGCCTGTCTGGAATATGCCCTTGAACTCTGATAACGCCTCTTACTTGCCTGGATGGAAGGTAGAGAGGAGAGGGTTTGAATGTGTGTAGAAACCAGCCTACTAGGCAAAGGTCCACTGCTGCTCCCATTCTGGCTTCTTGCCTCACCTCCCACTGGCATGTGGCCTCCATAAGGTTGCCTAGAACAGAATGTGTGTCGTAGCCCTGTGCTGCCAGCCATGGCAGAGCTCAGTGGAGGGAGAAGCCAGTCAACCAGCCGAGTCTCAGGGGGGAACTTGCCTGGAGGCAGCATCCATATACAAGGTCCAGCCCAGCCCTAAGGTCAGGAGTATCTCAGTTCACATAGTCAGACGATATGGTGGTCACGAATGCCGAAGGTCCAAGGTCACAAGAAGCAGCAAGGTCTGGCCAGGAGCGACAAATGTTGTTTCCAGCAACTGACTGAGGCTGGAAACCCTTCTTAAAAGGCTGGAGCCAGCTGGTTCTCATCAGGAGCAAGAAGGCTTATCAGTAGCAGGTGGAGTTACTTTGCCTTCTGCTCCTTCAGGCTGCTGCTCAGCAGGTGAAGCCATTCCTGACCCATGACTATGTGGCCCTTGGGGTAAAAATGGTTCCCCACCCCTGCAGTCACCCACGAACTACCTTAAGCAGCTGGGCAGGACGACTCACCTCTCCATCACCTGATACCATTACAGCATCAGATAATTGACAGATGAGTGACTCCGCCCACCTGTCAAAGTTAGCCCACGAGGGTGGGGAGACGAAGGTCTGGCCCACTGGTCCAGAAAGGACCCCCACTTCTTAGAGATTAACAACCTGTCTGAAGTGAGCCTCGGATTAAACTCAGAAACTACCTCTTCCAACACCTTCCCCCTGCCCCACAAAGATATCAGATACTTTTTCTGCCCATCTCCCACTTTTTCTGGTCAATATCTAAGGCAAGGTATTTCCAGCACCTTGGAAAGCTCCGGTTGAACAACTTGCTCTGGTGAAGGTTGGAGGTGAACTGGGGCCTTAGAAGCCCCTGCAAACGCCCCTACCCTCCCTAAGCTCCAGCTCCCTCAGTCAATGCAGTTTTGTCTCAGCCCAGGGGTACTGCCTGTATACTCCTCTCTCTTGCAATGATATTCAGGGGCAGTTTCTGGAAGTGGGGGGTGTCTATTTTTCAACAAAACTAAAGGCAGCTTCTCTTACTTTGCCCAAGCCTCTGGTTTCTGCATCCCCAGATACATGAATGGCCATGGAAACTTGCAAGTTGCAAACACATGCCTGTAGGCCCAGCCAAAGTTTAATACTTCAAAGCCCCATAGATTTCCCCCCACTGAAATCAATGGGGCTTCAAGTGATTAATGGGTGGTGCTCTATTTGGTGTTTGTGGTGTGTGGGTGAGGGGATACTGCTGAGTGCATTTCTGTAAGAATGCAGTCTTTTAAATTTCTTTAGATGTCCTCACCCATCACTGTTTCTCTGTTTTCTTGACTGTTATTATTAATCATGATCACTTTCAGGATGCAGAGGCTAAGAGACAATTGCCCAGACCCACAATTTCAATGGGATGAATCAAAACTAGGCAAAAAGCTACTTTCCATATTCCAAAGGTTATCTAAAACCATCATTACTTATCCTAAAATGCTGCATTTACATAATTAAAACCCATGTAGGCTAATTTTAACATTGCGTCCTTATGATCTGTTTTTTCGTGTGACAAGAACATTAAAATACATTGCTGTGATTGTTGAGTTTTACTTAATAGTGCAAGAATTCTTAAGGGACATTTGCTATAAATAAATGGAGATAAAACTCAAGAGGCCAGCATTATACCCCTCTAGAAATAGCATCATAGCTTTTCTTTTTTTTAAAAAAAAAAGTTTGAGTGACCTCTAGTGGAAAACACATACCAATACAGAAATTAAATTGTTTGCAATCTCTCCTGCTCTAAGATGGGTTACCTTTTCAACACATCTGCAAAACAGCTACAACATGCAAATGGGAAAATATATGCAGCTTCTTTCTTATAACAACATCTAAAATGAGATGATAGCTCAGTTGGGAAAAGCCTAAGGAATAAAGGTGTTTTTAACACTCCTTGAGAGCACCCCACTGCAAGATCCTCCAATATGGCTGGAGGGGAGTGTTCCAAAGTCTGTCCCGAATCTCCCATACTTGTGCTCCCTTGGATAAGACTCTGGGTTCTAATATTGTGAGAGGGGAAGAGAAAACATCTCTGTATCATTCATTTTCTTCACATTGTGTAATTGTTTGATCACTGCATCTTATTTAGACCCTCTCTGGGGAAAGTGTGAACAATGGAGAAAGTGGACAGAGAATTTCTCTCTCTCTCTCTCTCTCTCTCTCTCTCTCTCTCTCTCATAACACTCTAACCTGTAGACATCCAAGGAACCTGAATGCTGGAATATTCAGGACAGATGAACTGAATTTCTAAACACGGATCTGAGAATAATCTAAAGCACAATGATTTAGCAGTGCACTACAATATCCTAATATTGCCGACTACTCAGACTAGACCCACTAAAATTAATGTACATAATTCACCTAATCTTAACTGTTAATTTTGAGGGACGTGGGTGGCGCTGTGGGTTAAACCACAGAGCCTAGGACTTGCCGATCAGAAGGTCAGCGGTTCGAATCCCTGCAACGGGGTAAGCTCCCGGTGTTTGGTCCCTGTTCCTGCCAACCTAGCAGTTTGAAAGCACGTCAAAGTGCAAGTAGCTAAATAGGTACCGCTCTGGCGGGAAGGTAAACAGCGTTTCCGTGTGCTGCTCTGGTTCGCCAGAAGCAGCTTAGTCATGCTGGCCACATGACCCGGAAGCTGTACGCCGGCTCCCTCGGCCAATAAAGCGAGATGAGCACCGCAACCCCAGAGTCGGCCACGACTGGACCTAATGGTCAGGGGTCCCTTTACCTTTAACTGTTAATTTTAGAGGATCTATTCTGAGTACAAATTAGTTGAATACCACCCTGGTTTAGCAGGTCAGTCTGTGAAGAATTCTGACTGTAAGCAAACCACAAATGTCAAATCTTATTTAATTTAGATTAATTACATGTAATTATTTAATCATATTGAATTTAGATTAATGCCCTTTAATACATTTTAATTACACTTCTCACAATCGGCATGGTAAAAGGGCAAAGAATGAGCGAAGTTTATCTAGCGTAAGAAATATATGTGTTGAAAGGATTCTCAAATAATCAGTAATTTTTGAAAGCTTGCTACTGAGCTATTTAATGACTGCTGTAAGGGGTGAAAACTTCAGGAAAGCAGGCTTAGGTATTAAGAAAGAACTTCCTGTTAAAAAGCCGCTGGCCAATGGAAGTGGTTGTGCAGTTAAATATTGATAGCTTTTCTTTGTGGAGACTTTGAGCAAGGCGGTAGATCAGCCTACACTGGTTCAGAAGCAAATTTTCCTTTAAAATTCTGCCGTGCTTGCAAGAGGCTGGTGAACCCCTGAAAAATCTTCCCATTCTTCATTTGCAGGAGATTGGACTAGCTGACACCCGGGATCCCTTCCAAATCTACAACTATATGATTCTATGGAAACAGGCAAATCTTTCCGATTTCCCTGGAACAAGTACATATCTCTGAAACTGCTTTAACAATGGGACGTGCTGATGCATTTGCACCACACCATGCTCAGCCCACTCAACCTCCCCGGGACAACTGACATTCGGGTTTGGTGGGTGTGCGTCAGAAAATGAGGGGAATTAAGACTAAGAAAGCTGTGGGGGGCGGGCGGTGCTCGTGTAATCTCACTGTATACAAGTTGTACAAGTGACAATAAAGTATTTCAGTAAATCCGGCACTGCGTGAAGCCCGATCAACCTCCCAGGGAGCAGCTGTGCTCCAACCGACCCCACCTCCCTGCATTGCATGGTCCGCTACTGTCTAGCAGTGTGTGGGGCATGGGTGTGTGTGGGGCAATGCAAATTATATTTTGAAGGCTATTAAGAACTGTTGTCTTTGTCCATGGAGTTTTCTTGGCAGGGATACTGGAGTGGCTTGCCGGTTCCTGCTCCAGGTGGATCACGTTTGGTCAAAACTCTCCACTATGACCTGCATGGCATAGCTCATAGCTTCTCTGAAGCAATGACAAACCTAGACAGCATCTTAAAAAGCAGAGACATCACCTTGCCAACAAAGGTCCGTATAGTTAAAGCCATGGTTTTCCCAGTAGTGATGTATGGAAGTGAGAGCTGGACCATCAAGAAGGCTGATCACCGAAGAATTGATGCTTTTGAATTATGGTGCTGGAGGAGACTCTTGAGAGTCCCATGGATTGCAAGAAGATCAAACCTATCCATTCTGAAGGAAATCAGCCCTGAGTGCTCACTGGAAGGACAGATCCTGAAGCTGAGGGTCCAGTACTTTGGCCACCTCATGAGAAGAGAAGACTCCCTGGAAAAGACCCTGGTGTTGGGAAAGATGGAGGGCACAAGGAGAAGGGGACGACAGAGGACGAGATGGTTGGACAGTGTTCTCGAAGCTACCAGCATGAGTTTGACCAAACTGCGGGAGGCAGTGGAAGACAGAAGTGCCTGGCGTGCTCTGGTCCATGGGGTCACGAAGAGTCGGACACGACTAAACAACAACAAATTAAGAACTGTAAGGGTGGGATTTGGCACTCCTGTCTTCCACTGCCTTCCGCAGTTTGGTGGGCTATATAAATGCAACCGAGGATGCTCAGCTGCCTTCCTCCCACCTCCACCTCTCCTTCCTCCACCACCAGTAGCAGGCAAAAGAGAGCAGCGCCGGCCAGGCTAGAGGGGCAAACCCGGAAGCACTGGTTCCCATCCGCTCCTCCTCCTCCTCCTCCTTCCCTTTCATAGGCCGGAGCCGTCGTAGACGCCGCCCTCCCCCGCCTTTCGCATTTCCCGCCCCCGTCTGGCAAGACGCGCGCGCGCGGAGAGGCAAGCGCTGTGCGGCGTGGCAGTCAAGGGTTGCGCGCCCGCACGCGCGTGTCCTGGGAGGAAACCGGGAGCGCGCCGCCGTGCGTGTGGCCAGAGCTCTCTCTCTCTTTCTCACTCCGCCCGGCCGCCTGATTCTCGCTCCTCCCCTTTCGGTCCCTTCTCCTCCCTGGCTCGCGCCCCACCTACTCCACCCGTCTCCGTTTTACCAGGCAGGCGCAGGCGCGCGCGCAAGAGTCTCCCAGCGCCAAGCCGGCATCTCCGAGCAAGCAGCAGCAGCAGCAGCATCTTCCCCTCCCCTCCCGCCTCGCCTCCTCTCTCTCTCTCGCTCCCTCCCCTACCTCCTCGCCTTCAGGCCCCGCGCCGAATCCTAGCTCTCAGCGCGCGCGCCTTGCCTCTGCGCTCGCCCTCCCTTTTTCTGTCCCCGCATCTCCTCCTCCTCCTCCTCTTCTGCCAACATCCCCGGCGTCCCGGGCTGTCTTGCAAATGGATTTGCCCGCGAGCCACTGCAAAAAAGTCAAGCTGAGCAACAAAGTGCAGAGTTGGGTAAGTCTGTTTTTTTTTCCTTTTTGAAGCTAGCTGCAGTTTGGCAAAATAGCACACCTGGTGAGAGGAAGGTGGCCCCTTCCCAAGGAAGAAAACAGTCCAAAGAGAAAAGAGGAAGGGGGGAGAGGGATGCCTCCCTGCCGGGATGCGGCTTTGCTTGAGCAACCTTTTGGCGTGGTGGTTTTTGCTGCTGGCTGCCGGAGGCTCGAGTGAGGCGAGCGCAGTGGCTTGCAGCGCCTCTCTCTTTGCGTTTGCACAAGATGGGGCAGGCTTGGGAAGTGGGTGGAGGAAATAACGCAGGCTGCTTGGGATACGAAGCCTTCCTCGCTCGGCGGGAGGATCGCATTTCAATAGATTCCACTGACGTGTCTGCATTTTTTTTTTTGCTTTGAGGGAGGGAAAAAGAGAGGAAGGCAATTCATCTCTTTGCTCTCCTTGCTGCAAATGTCTCTGGTATAGCCTGTCTTTATGAATGAAGTTAAATATGCCAGTTCTCTGTTGCTAAGAGTGGCCTTATAGTGCCGTGTTTGCTTTAAAAGTTGTGGGTGGCAAGCATAACTGTGATGCAGAGGAGCATGTAACCTCATTCAGCATCACCCCCCCTCTTTTCCTCCTTTTTCTTCATGTCTATTGGAGGAGGAAAGGAGTGGGATCTCAAGAGTACAATGTGAGCATTCATAAATCTTGGGCAGCCCCAACACTGAAGTTCTTTGTGGGTTGCCTGTTGAATGAGAGCACTGTGGAAGGAGGCATGAACAAACTTGGGTTTTAATTGCAAAGGTGCCAACAGGTCAATTTACAGTGCTGGCCAAAGGCTAGGAAACTACTGGGGGCAGTGGTGGAAAGAGGCCTTTGCTAGAAAAGAGGTGGTGGGTTTTGATGGCATAATTAATAGCTGTAATTATTGGGGGGGGAGAGCTATGTTGCTTTCTTAATGCATGATTCTAAAAGCTTTATCATGATACTTTTCAAATGGAAGAAGAAATTTAAAAGGTGTCCTTTACCTACTTCATCTCAAAGATTATGCTTTAGAAAAAAGACTGGTCTTGTGATGTGTGATGAACATTCATTGTGAGACCCAGAATCTAGCCATGTGAACATAGGAACTGCCCGATACCACCAAGCCAGTGGTCCATCTGCCTCCGTATTGTCTACACTGACTGGCAACAACTCTCCAGGGTTTCAGATGGGGAAGTTTTCCCCATCCCTTTCTGGAGATGCTGAGGATTGAACCTGCGACCTCCTTCTTGCAAAATAGATGCTCTTCTACTCTGCTATATCCCTTTCTAAAGGGCTATCAAGGGTGGGGTTGGGCAGTTAAGGTGATGCAGAGAGCATGTTATTGGTGGTTAGAATTCCTTGATGGTCTGCCTTCAGTTGGTTAGAGTGTGGCGCTGGTAAGGCCAAGTTTGCAGGTTCGATCCCTGTTTGGGACATCTGCATATTCCTGCATTCCAACTCTGATTCTAAGGCCAGAAAGAAGTCTGAAATGAGCGTTGAATCACACTAACCTCAGATCCCCGCTTGAGTTCCATAGCTTCTTCTGGTATGCCTCCTGTAGTGGCACTTTAGCTAAAAGGAAAAGTGTTCCTGATGAAAATGTGTAGCCCAGAAGAACAGCTGGAGTGCTCTTAGTTTTCATAACCCTTAGCCAAATCATGGCTTAGCACAGGGGTTGCCAACCTTTTCAGGCCTGTGTGCTGCCAGTGCCACTGGCAGAGGAAGAGGAGTGCGGGGGGAGCGCACTGCTCCTGGCAGGGTGCCATTGCGGCTGCCCCTCGCCCCAGGACACGCGCCAGCCCTGCCCCCTTCTCTCCCCCCCTGCCGGTGCCAAAGCATGAAGCTCCGCCACTGGTCAGTTCCACTCCTTCTGGTCACTCTTCTCCCCATCCCCTGACCAGATCAGTTTCCATCCCTCCAAAAGGCAGAAACAGAGACTGTGCACGTGCTTCACTTTTTCAAGGGATCTGGGTAAAACACGAACCCAGCAGAATTGACCTGAGCCTTGAAAAGCCCAAAATAATTCACAGAGGAAGTGGGAAAGAATGCCACTCTTGCAACTTTTCCTTCAGCTCCATGTACTTTTTGAGGGAGAAAATGTTAACTACTTCCATCACCTCATGACCAAGGGGGCATTTGGACGGAGGCTTTGTGGGGTCTAGGAAAAGACTCTAAGGGTGCTGTGTTGGGGAACGGACTTAGTATAAGCATGTGGGTTCCTAGAGAGAAGTTCATGACCACTTCTCGCCTCCCCTGGTCCTGCTACTGTCTTGCAATCTGTGGCAGAGACATGGTTTGACTTACCGTACCTTTGAAACCAGACTCGTCATTTGTCTCCTACAGACAAACCATGAGCTCTAAATGAAGATCAAGCCACAGTTACATCTCATAGTTTGTCATGTGACAAACCATGAAATCAGAGGCTCTACGCTCAGGGTGGGGTGCCAGATCTTTATTTCACCCCCCGCCATGCCAACGTTGACCAGAGGGCAGCAGCACCCTTAGTTGACATCAGGAGACTGATAGTTGGGTAGCTCTGCCCACCTATCAAAGTGGACCCATGGGGGAGGGTTCTACTTCATCCGCAGGAAGCATGTTGGCAGAACAGCAACCAGCTAATGAGCGGAGGGTTTGGTCTTGCTTTCTGCAGGGGTCTGCTTCACCCTTCAGTTCCCCACCCCTACTCTAAGTCACATCTTGGTTCTGCCCCTGTGCCTGTAATTTTTTTAAAAAAGTAAATTTTCTTAGCTCAAGTGAAACAAATTATTCCACTCAGCGTTCAAAACTCACCCGGCACCAGTCGCATTGCACGACAGGCAACTGGCCTTTCGCAAGCAAGGGGAGAGATGTCTGGTTGCCAACATTTCCACCTGGCTGTCTGGTGATGCTGCACTAGTTAGCTGGTTAGTGGTGCACCAAAAGACGTGTCTCTTTTGATGCTGCCCTGCCCTGTGAATCAGCTGATCTGTGGGGCAGCGCAGTACCAGAAGATGCACCAACAGGAGGCTGGACCTTTGATCTGATCCAAGAGGACTGGTTTTATGTTTTTATGGTAATGGATTGCCCTTTATTCAAAGTTTCAGATAATCAAAGTGTGGCTATCATAACAGCTTGTTATGATTTCTCATCCTTCTTGTAAAGTAATAATTCCACCTCTCTGTCTTTCTGCACTAGGGGTGTGTGCATACATGTGTGAGTTCATAAGCTTATTTATTTACTTTGACCACTTCATGTACCTGGTAATATGGCTTCCTTGAGCCAGAGACCACAATAAATTTGTTAGTCTTCAAGGTTGCATAAGTCTCTTTTTTAAATGTTACTTATGGAAGACACCTGACCCAACACTCTTCTCTGGCTGTGCCCTGTAGGACCAGATCAGTAATAGAAGCCATACTCTTATTGACAGTCTCACTGCTACTTAACAATGTGGTCACTGAGGACTCCCTGGTAAGCTTTGAAAATGAAATTAGCAGGGTTCCTAGGAACACGGTTGGTTGTGCACATACCACACTAAAGGGTATCCAGTGTAACTTTATCATGCTACTCAGTAACTTTGTAGAACATCAATATAAATAGCACCGCTCCTTTTTAGTAATGCATGACTGCTATAGGTAAGACGACTATAGATAATTAGCTGCCAAGCACTCTGGTACTCAGTGGTAGAGCACCCTGTTGCTGAGTAAACCCAGCACAATCATGGACAGCAGATAAATTAGCTTGAGAAAAGCCAACAAAGCTGGATTTCAGCCCAGAAACCTAGTAAGTCAGCATTCTATCCCATCAGACATCGTGAAAGTTCAGGGTGCTAATTCTGAAAAGGACCTTACTGACATTCCGAGGCACAACTTTCAAAGCAGCACAGTAAAAATTTGCATAAATGCTTCCTAAATCAAGACATGATTATTCTTCCCTCTCTTTAATTTTTTTTTTACTTTGGACTAATTTCTTTTTTGGTATTTATAGGGCTGGGAGGTGGGGATATTCCAACTGTTTCCCTTCTGTTTTCTAAGACGCAGAACTACCTGTTAAAGGCAGATGCATATACCCAGCCTTAAAGGCTGCTGTATGTAGGGAATCCTCTCAAAAATTTTAAGTGTGGGACAGTTTGGAGCAGAGAAGCCATTTCCCTCTCTTCCCCCAGCATAGGATTGCAGGCATGTGTTTTTTGGGTAAAAGTGGAGTTTTGCATATTTCTTCAGTACGCACAACCTTGCCTAACCTTGTATCATGCTTCTCTTGATAAATGTGTGGTTCTGGTTTGTTTAAATGCTCTGAACCTGGGCAGGTGACCTTAGCGGGGATAATTTCTGTTCAGTTTAGCTTCAGTAAAACAAGGAAGGGGGTGTTTAATTGGCCTTGACGTTGAATTGGTACAAAAGCTGCCAGTAGCAAGGTTCCAAATAGAACATAACAATTGCTTAGAGATTTTTATATCTTCTGCAAATATCTGCATTGCCTGTTCCAAATTTTTACTGGAGTTCTGTCCAGATTACAGCGAATAGATTAGGTGGGTGGTGTTGCAGAGGTGGATTTTTTTTCCAGCCTTCCTCACCCACTTCTCTCAAAATGTTAGTGTCATACTTTCACATCTGGTCTGTGGTATACTAAAAAAATATAAACCCTATTAGGGAAGAACTGTAGCTCAGTAACAGAACATCTGACTCTCATGCAGAAGGTTCCTGGTATCTCCTGGGAATAGCAGTTGCCTGAAACCCTGGAAAGCCACAGCCAATCAGCATAGACAACACTGAGCTAAATGGGCCAATAGTCTGACTGGATATAACAGTGCATAGACAATAATAGAACCTAAAATATGCAAATATACTATAGTGTTCTCAAATAATATATATGCAATCGATATAGCAGAAGACTGATTGCAAGTCCTTTTTGACTAATTAGGTTTTTTCAATCATGACCAAATTTCTTCAAATACATACATCACTGAGAGAAGATCATTTCTTGTTCTCCACAAGGATGCAAATAGGATATTTCACTCAAATTACATTCTCCGGTTCTTCCCAGGACCAAAACAGAAGGCTTTCCAATGTGGAAAATCTACCTCTCCTTGTGGTATTGGAATTTCTTACCCTTTCTAGGAAGCTAATGACCATTTCTCTGTGTTTCAATATGGACTGTTTCTATCAATTCTTACCAAACTTGAAAAACCCCCAAAACAAAGCTGAGCAAGAAGAGGCTTTTTTTTAAAAAAAGAGAGAGAAAAGCAATGGTGTATTTATGACCAGAGAACTGTTCTTTCTTGCTGCTTGGCAAGCCAGGTAAGTATTCCCTGAAGTTGGCAAGCAGGCATAGCTAACTGAGTTTCTGGACCTTCTCCAGTTTTTGTTTAAGCAAACTATTATATCCCCTGTATTTTAACACTTCAGTTTGCTATCATGATGGTTCCTATGTCCAGGAAAGCAAAACTTGAAGGTTATCTGCTCGCTTTTCTTGTTGCTGTGGAGATAATCTCACACTTTTGCTTCTCAAAGGAAGTTCCTATATCAGCAGTTAGTGCAAGATTTTAGTTAAATGTTTTTGACCACAGTGCCTAATTTGTTAAACTGCTGTTGCTGTTTGGAGGTAAGATTACCTTTGTAGGTTCACAGTGCCTGTATGTTAAGAAGTCAGCAGCCAGCAGGAAACTTAGAAATTGTAGGCCTATTGTATATTTGGTACGTGTTGTATATGTGACAGTTATTCCCCACTTTTTAGGGCAGTGTCAGCAGAGTTTCTTGTGTCGTGATTGTCAACTGTTCTTTGTTGATGCAGGTGCCATGGAAAGTTGGGATGCTTAGGGTTAAGTTATTTTAAAAATGCCTAAAATGGTTTAGGGTTGACCTTTCGTTACAGCCCAAGGCCCAAGTATTATTTCCTCTTCCTTGAATGGGAAATCCAGGTTGACCTTGGCTTCTCTGCTGCCACCATCCTGATGCAGTTCAGGCTACTTGTGTCAATTTCACAGGCAAGATCTAGAAATGCTTAGCTAAGTTCTGTGCTAGTGGACTTCAGCGGGAGTTAGCTGGTGATGAGGCCCCATGAAGTCTACATTGTTTATCTGCCAGGAGAATAGAGAGAGAGACTTCTGGTTCCAGGCTCAGCTGTTGCTGCAGCAGATAATCGAATCGTAGAATTGGAAGGGATCATGAGGGTCATCTAGTCCAACCCCCTTTTTGCCCCACATGGGTCTTGAACCCGCAACCCTAAGTCGTGCTTACCGACTGAGCTAAGCTGATAGTTCAGAAGTTAGAAGAAACTTTAATTCTATCTTTATCATGCTCTGTATATTCTGCTTGGTTATAGTGCAACTGGTATAGTTTGATCCAAGGGGATTCTGAATTCACATTCTTATCTCCAGCCTTTTAGCCAGGCTACCATAGAGTCATATTTATCAGTATTCCGAACTAGCAGCCTCATATCCAGTGTTGTGCAGGAATTTTAAGAAACAAAAGGAAAAAAGTGCAGTTATTTGAAGTCAGTTGCTAAAATCAGTGCAATTTTGAAAGGTTCAGTCTGCCATCTTGAGTTAAAATGGCATCCATTTTTGTATTCAAAAATAGACATAAATATATAGCAAATATGGTGGGAGCTAACAGCTGTTCTACTAATGGTTCTACTTAGATGCCCAAGTAAGGTGGTATTCTTTGTGACCCTCTGGGGATGCCAGGGTGCAGAGAAGGGAAATAACTATTTTAAGGAACCCACACTAAGTTGCAGCAGGCTAAACCTGAGTAGCCAATTTGTTGCATTCCAGATGTGAACTGCAGCCCACATGATTCTTGAGTTATTGCCATGCTGGCTAGGGTTGATGGGAGTTGGGAGTCCAAGCCATCTGGAAAATACCATGTTGTCTATCCCTGGAAGCTTGTTTAGATAACGCAATTTTGTCCTGTGAAACAGCTTTCAAATCTTGCTCCGTTGAAAACGGGCAGGGCTTTACAAGCCATCTTTATCGGTCATTGTTTGTGTAGTGATTCAGCCTCCAAGTAGCAGTTGGAGAGATTCAGCTAGGAATCTGTTGGGTGACTGGACCGCTGCTACCTCTTAACATAGCCTACCTTGCAGGGTGCTTGCAAAGATAAAATTGTGTGAGTATGTTGTTGTGACTTGGCCTCCTAAGTGGGTTTAGCTTGGAAGTGGAGGTGGTGTAATAACTTACATAACACATTGTTAGTCAATGAAGGTCTAGGACATGGCTGGTGTAGAGGAGGGAAAAACCGTTGCGGCTGTGTAAATGGATGTGTACAATGGTAAGTAGTGGAACTGTGTTAGGTAATAACGTATTTAATTGTGATGACCTCCAGATCCTTCTGCTTTTTCTAGTTAGGCATAGACTAGAGGAGAAATGTCATTTAAGTAACTTGAGGTTTGTATGTGTTCCGCTTTTGAAAGACTAGTATAATTCCATTGACAGAAGAATCCCAAGTGGGGTAAAGTAGATCGTAGGCAAATTAAATGTAGTAGAGACCAGAGTGGCTTTAAAAAGAAACTAAATTTTTGCCTGTAGCTTCTTATTTTTGTCTTGTGGTTAGTGCATAAGGCTGCACTCTGTTTTCAAGAAGTTAAATTGTTTAAATGCTGGCATTGCAAAATCATGAGAGGACATTCAGAGCTGCCCAATCCAAGTGCACATAATTTTAATTTGGGAGTTAACCTATGGATTTTTGACTGTAGCACGGGGCAGTACCCGCAAGACAAATATTGCAGAAGCCATGGGGAGCCCAAGAAGGAAGTTGGTGTGTGTAGTGGGGAACAACTATGAATCAGGAGTTCCCCAGTTTAAATCTAATCTCTGCCATGCTTTTGCTAGGTAATATTTGTAGCTTGCCTATCTCTAACCTCAGCCCTATATCTGCTATATGGAAATAACACTTACCTACTATACCAGGTTGCTGGCAAGAATTATAGTGAGATAATACATATGAATCACTTTGACCTAGGGCTATACAGACACTGTTTAGATGCTGGATAGTTAATTTTGCCAACTAAAGGGGGTCATGGTAGTATCTTCGTAGCTAGAAGAGTTGAAGTTTGTCATCCTTGGAGCAGTAGCTGCCAGATTCTTGAGTGATCTGAGACCATCCTGCTGAATTTTGAACTGCCTGCTTACTCCCCTCCTTTCTTAGAACCCATATCAGCAGGAAGTTGTGCAAAATAGGTCTCTCCCAGTCCCGGGATGCTACAAAACTCTGGTGTGCTTTTCAATACTGTGTCTTATGAGGAAGGCAGAACTGCCTGTGTCCCCTTCTTAGTCTTAACCAGCCTTCGCCAGGTGGATGCCCACCAGATGTTTTGGACTACAACTCCCATCAGGCCCTGCCAGCTGCAGTCCCAACAACATCAAGTGGCAAACACTAGTCTTAACAAATTTTGCTACAAGGAGCTGTGGAAGGAAGCCATCCCAACATGGCCACACGGTTAGTTGTCCCTTCCTTGCATCGAAATGGATCTTGTGCCTTTTTAGTGGCCCTGTTAGAAATCATGAAGAAGCTTTCAAATCTCTGTGCAATTTATGCCTGTTCAATTGAGCCTAGAGTTCAGTGTCGGTGGTTCTAAAATGTGATGGTGAAGTGCCCTGAAACGATGGACAAAATCAACAAGTGTATGGATAATAACATAAAAGCATTTTGAAACTCCAGTAGCCCAAAGAGGATTATCTTCTAGTTTTGACATACTGCTGCATTATTTTACATCCTTGAGGAAAATGTCACAGAACTCCACATTTATTTATTTTTTGATCGCACGGCATTCTGTTAATATTTCTCGTTTGTGCCAGTTCGCTTTAATATGTTACCTGGATTGTCGAAAATTGATTATTTAAGGAACTGAAGAACTTTACCTGTTTATTTCTTTCAGGGAATGCAGAGAGCTACCAATGTCACCTACCAAGCCCACCATGTCAGCCGCAATAAGAGGGGTCAGGTAGTAGGGACCAGAAGTGGCTTTCGGGGCTGCACAGTCTGGCTAACAGGTACAGTATTGCTGCCCATAAGTTTGCTCTGTTTTAGTGTGTTGTTTGCTCTCTTGCCATTATAAAGTGATGGCAGCGGCAGGAGGTACCAGCTAAATATTTTCGCAGTAGCTTTTGCAGGAGCCAGAATTGCAAATTGACTACACTGGTACCTTGGGTTGCAAACACTTCGGGTTACAGACTCCGCTAACCCAGAAATAGTACCTCGGGTTAAGAACTTTACCTCAGGATGAGAACAGAAATTGCGCAGCGGGAGGCCCCATTAGCTAAAGTGGTACCTCAGGTTAAGAACAGTTTCAGGTTAAGAACGGACCTCCGGAACGAATTAAGTTCTAACCCTGAGGTACCACTGTACCTTTACACAGATTCCCTTTCACTGTCTTCATTGTATGATCCCAACGTATCTTCACAGAAGGCTGGGGTTAGTGTTGGCTCCCTCATTTTTTAGGGAAGCAATATGACCTATATATATATGCTTGGGAACATTTTAAACATTACAGTTTGGATTGAAGATTCTTTCACTTGGAGAGGCAGAAATTCCACCATCTTCCCCCTCCACCTGTAGCCCTTGCACCATATCCAGTCCGGAAGAGCCGGTGTGGCATAGTGGTTAGAGAGTGTTGGGCTAATGCCTGGGAGACATGGGTTCTAGTCCCCACACAGCCATGAAGCTCACTCAGTGATCTTGGGCCAGTCACTTGTCTCTCAGCCTAATCTATCTCACAGGGTGGTTGTGAGGATAAAATGAGGAGGAGGAGAACCATTAACACCCCCTTGAGCCTCATGGAGGAAAGGTTGTTAGCAATTTCACTCCTCCGATGCTGCAGATGGGATTGTTGTAAATTACATGCCTATCTGGGACGACTCTGGGAAAGGAAGACAGTCTTATCTATTCTGCTGCGGGTACTATTACACTGTACGTTTCCTTTTATTTCTTTCTGTTTGTTCTCTCGGAGCTGGAGAGAACGGACACCATTATGCTTTTGTCTGTACATAGTGTGTAAATAAATAGTAGATTAGCTCTACGGTGTCTTACTCTTCTTGCTGTGTTATGCCAGAAGATTAGTGTGCATTTATCATTATGATGTATGTCGTTAGAAGCGCACTGGAAGAGAAGGGAGATGCCTTTTCCAGAGCTGCGCGTACCGGAGGACGCTCAGAGTTTCGGGGGCTTGCAGGGCACCCCAGGGTGTTTTCCAACAAATAAAATAAAAAAAGAAATTCCCTAGGGAGGTGGGCTCCCTCTCAAACCATAGCAACAGATTCTAGAGTTGGGGAACACAGAGAAGACTTACCGTACTTTTCTGTGTATAAAACGCCCCCATGTATAAGATGCCTCCTATTTTGGGGGACTCCAGATTAAGAAAACACCCCTCAGCGCTACCCGTGTATAAGACAAGCCCCAATTTTAAACCTAATTTTTTGATAAAAAACACCCCTAGTCTTATACATGGAAAAATACGGTAATTACATTAAGAGAATGAAAATTTAGAAAGAAGCTTATGAATTTCCCATGTGGCCAACCGTTTGACACAGGGAAAAATGAAATTAGCACATAGGCATGCATTTTTTGCAGTTTTGCTCACTGGCATACTGGCACGTGCCTATGCAGTGAAATGGATGCAAGTACTTCTGCCATGTGGTGATACATGCAGTTTGTTCACATTTTCCTGCACAGCGTGCTTTTGTCCTGCGTAGGAGATACGCAGCTTTTCAAGGCAGCTGATTTCTTGATGTTATCTTAAAGAGCGAACATTTTGCTGATGAACTCTGAAAAAGTAGGGAGTGTCAAGATGAGTACCCATTTGTCTAGATGGAAAGAGGGAGGGTAAAATTTTAGGGGGCCTTGTGCGACATTTTAAGAATGTTATGTGAATGTTAAGCATTCACATAACACAGTTCCCCCCCCCCCCCCGAATTTCAGGCATATACTTAAAAGCTGCAGGAGTTGTGTGGCCATAGGCGGAGTCCTAAGCATGCTAAACTTGGAAGTGTATCCCATTCATGTAGTTTATTTTGGAGTGAACATGATTAATATTGCATTTCCACGCTCCTAAATATGATGAGCCAGGCATGATTTTTAAATGTCAGTCATCTATTGACTTTTATTGACCTGTGTTTTTTTGGGTTATTTTTTTCTTTAAAACTAATGTAGGTTTGTCTGGAGCTGGGAAGACCACAGTTAGCATGGCACTGGAAGAATATCTAGTGTGCCATGGCATTCCATGCTATACCCTGGATGGTGACAACATCAGACAAGGCCTTAATAAGAATCTAGGATTCTCACCAGAAGACAGGGAAGAAAATGTCCGCCGGATTGCTGAGGTTGCCAAGTTGTTTGCAGATGCTGGCTTGGTGTGCATCACTAGTTTTATTTCTCCTTATGCCCAGGTGAGCACCCCATGTCCTCATTTTACACCGAAATTGCACTGCGGTGTTAACTATTTCAAGAATATGGTCAAATAATCCTTCCTTTGTTGAATGTGTTAAATTTTGGCTGAGATTTAGGAGCCCCTTACACACATCAGAAATTGTGTTTTTTCAGTGGCCGTTATATGCTCATCTGAAGGGGTTTATGAAATTCCCTCTAAAGGGTGTTTGAGAGGCCACGGTGAGGACAAGCTTGGTGTACAGCCTTTGTTTCCTGTCCAGTAGATTCAGGTTACTATAAATTAAAAACAACTGAAATTAGACTCAGTGGCGCTGTGGTCTAAACCACTGAGCCTAGGGCTTGCCGAATGGAAGGTCGGTGTTTCGAATCCTCGCAGCAGGGTGAGCTCCCCTTGTTTGGTCCCTGCTCCTGCCAACCTAGCAGTTCGAAAGCACGTCAAAGTGCAAGTAGATAAATAGGTACCACTCCGGCAGGAAGATAAACGGCGTTTCTGTGTGCTGCTCTGGTTCGCCAGAAGCGGCTTAGTCATGCTGGCCATATGACCCAGAAGCTGTCTGTAGACAAATGCCGGCTCCCTCGGCCTATAGAGCGAGATAAGCGCGCAACACCAGAGTCGTCTGCAACTGGACTTAATGGTCAGGGGTCCCTTTACTTTTTTAATGCTATAGAACACAATAAACTAAGTACTGCAGACTCCCTGTTTTTGAAAAGCCAAGCCATGAACCCCCTACTTTTGAAAATTTTAATATCTCTATGGTCGTTTTATTGGTGTAAATTGCATCATGGGTGGGTTACGCAGACCCCCCCGGGACCCACAGATCACCAGCTGGGAACTGCTGCTATGGAAAGGAAGACCTGTGGTGCAATTTATTTGCAGATGTGTCAGTTGAGCTAACCAGAGGGTGTAGCTAGAAGCACTCAGGGTACTAGGTTCATAGCCTCCTAAGTGAGAATCACATCAGAACAGCAAAATTGGCAACTCCTTTCCACTTTGCTTAACGCTCCCTCTCTCACTCCAGGCAAAACTGGCTAACACCTTAGTAGGTACTGCCAGGATTAAGGGGGTTAGCTTCCCCTTAAGTCACATTTTTTAATTTTTGTAAACTACTTGTTTATTTAGAAGGCTTGGGGCAGGTGGACCTGCAAATGGTTAGGCAGGTAGTTAAACACAAAGGTAATACTGTGGAAGGGAAGCTGGCAACACCTTGCATAGGCTTGGAAATGGTGCAAGAGAAATCTGAAGCAAGTTTTCATTGTATTTCAAAACATAGCCTTAGACTTAGTAAGGCAGAATTTTTAAAACATAATTAGCAAGGAGAAAATTGGCTTTTTAGAAAGAACATACCATATATTCAGTAACAAAACAAGCCTGTGTTACTTTCTAAACAAGTCATTTTCAAACCATGAGTTACAAAGCAGGCTTTTTAAACTTTTATTTTTTTTGAAAAACTTTTTAAAAATACCAGTTTTCCTGTTTCACACTTAACATTAAGCTGACATCCTTTGAAAATAAACTCAGAAGATTTCCAACCCCAACCCACATGTGAACTGGGTGCTTTTTTCTGGCTCTCTGAGGCTCATTCACATAGTGGTCTAACATTATGTGCAAACCAGCGCTTGGAAAACGTCAGAAGTACAATTCAACCTCTTCTGATCCTCAGTGTCTCTCTATCTCTCATCTCTCTCCCATCCCAGCTTCATGTTTAGGAGTAGGCTGGGACTCATCACATCCACCCCAAAGGGGTGGGATGCTCAACATGGCAAGTGTGACAAACATATGTTTATGCTGGGCATATAAAAATGCTACCTACTGTGCAAGTCTAAATTAATTACTCGTTTGGTGTGCTCTGAAGACCAGCAGTCATTCAAGCAGATACAACATTTGACAACATTTTCAGTTAGCTTGATACGTAAGCAGCCGCTGTGTCTAATCATGAGACTTTGCAATGCCTTGTGTTTCATTCCCCTCCCCCTTATGACATGATACCCTCATGTAGACATAGCACTGGTTCCCTGAAAATTGTGGTTTTGTAAATTGGGAGTCAGATTCACCACCTTCCATGTGCATCAGCACAAACTAGGTTTTCTCTTAAACATGGTTTGAAAGCCCACTTCAAACTGATACTACACTCTACAGTGAAGATTTGTATTTGTTATTGATACTGATAACCAAGGTTACAAGGAAGCCTTTTTGTGTTAACTGTGACTTGCATTTCACTGGGTCGTTGTTTAGCGTGTGACGTGGTGGAAAGTTTTATTTCTGCCATTGCTTCTCAGGACCGTAACAATGCAAGGCAAATTCATGAAGTGGCAAGCCTGCCTTTCTTTGAAGTATTTGTGGATGCTCCATTGTACGTTTGTGAGCAGAGAGATGTGAAAGGCCTCTACAAAAAAGCTCGTGCTGGAGAAATTAAAGGTGAGCTTTCATGCCAAAGTTCTTTTATGGTGTCCCAATTGGGGCTGTTGGGCTATTGCCTACTGTACGAATGAGCTAATGACAAATAAAATATAATGCAAGCCATCTGCTCTCTGTAATACTAGGGTACAGAAGAGCACCCATTTAATTACTTTCTTACTTTGATATCTTGCCTTTTCTTAAAAACATGGAGCCCAAAGTGGCATAAATGTAGTTCCCAAGTAGTCACCTACCCAGGTGCTGACCAGACACAGACCTGCTTAGCATCAGAAAAGTGGTGGTCTCATATGCTATGTCTAAGCATATATACACAACCCAGTAACACTGCAAAGAATCCAAATGGAACCATACTTAGCTGTCGTAACTGTTACTCATTCTCCCTGAGAGCAAAATTATTGATTACTCTGGCTATTGTTTACTCTGGATACAAAGCTGCTTTTTAAAATCCAGTACCTTCTCTCAAACTGCTCATGCCCAACAAGATATGCTGTCTAAGCATATATATAAGCAATATATATATATGCACACAAACATTGCCCAGAAGAGAAATAAAATTTGAAATTACTGATGTATCAGCCTCCACAAGCTTTACTTGTAACTCATATTCCCTGTTCAAAAATGTGCTTATGACATTGTCTTTGTCCACAAGAAGATTTACAGTGAGACAGAAGGACCCTTTTAGTTACTGTTTAGTAATTATTTTGGGATGGACCAGAAAAGACCAGGAATGTTAGATGCAAGCAAGCTTTTCAGATAAGTAGCTGGAATAACATATTACAGCAGGAGACTAGAAGACCCATCTGAAAAGCAGCCTTGTCCTATGTTCTGTTTTTCTCCCCCCACTCAGGTTTTACTGGTATTGACTCAGAGTATGAGAAACCTGAAGCCCCTGAGCTGGTACTCAAAACAGATTCCTGTGATGTCAATGACTGCATTCAGCAAGTTGTGGAACTTCTGCAAGAGAGGGTATGGAGTCTTGTAGTGCTGACTTGTAAACATCTTGTGAAGTTGCCAGCTTAATATTCACTGCACATGTAAGCGGGCTTATTGAGAAGTAGGAGGTGCAACATTTGGTCCCTGACTTGGTTAGATTCATCGATTTAAAAACTTTCAATGGAGTGGCAACTCCTGTGTATTTTCCAAGAACATGTAAAATGTGTCCCTCTCTTCAGAAGTGTGGTTTTATTAATATGCAGGCTTCTTCAGATCTGCTCAATGCAAACTTGCACCATTAATTAAGTTAAGTTTCGTTGCTTGCTGATATCCCTGTTTGAGGGTGGAATTCATAATACTGCTAAGAATATTGTCAGTGCAAGCATTTTTACTTGCCCAGTGGAGTGATCCCCACTTTCCTCCCTCATGTGCTTTGCTTGGGGGGTTCTTCCCACTCTCTAAAAAGGGTTTGGTGGAGGGGTGGGGGAAACCCTGATGTGGTAGCAGAGGTCCTTGCACTGACTTCTGCTAGTGGAATGGGGTAGTTGAATCTGGTGAAATGCAACATTAGTCACACTCGAGTGTAAAACCCCTAAAACCAATGCAGCGGGTCTAATTCTATTGGGTGATACCCAGCAATCTATATCTCGCATCGGTGAGCAAACAGTACTTCACCCGCATGACTTCAAATATTTCAGTCTTTTCAATGTGACAGGAAAAAGGACAGCAAAACCGAGAGCTGCTTTTGCATTTAGTGCTTGAGCAAAGCTATTGTTGGCCTGCCATGGTAAGAAGTGATGATCTTACACATTCGACTTATGAAGGGATAACTGCAGTTACTTCATGAATAAATGGTATAATATGCGAACTGCAGCTTTTTTGGTTTTATTGTTACTGGGCTGACTTGCCCTTCTTGTAATTGGATCATTTGAGGGTGGAGGAGGAGTGCCTGTATTAAAGCGTCTGTAATAAACGAACAGCCAAGAGCTTTGCAAGAGGAAAAGTTGTTCTGTTCTGAAATGGCAATTCCCAAAAGGCAGGTTGTAGCTGCTACCATGGGCTTCCAGCTGTGAGTGGTGCAGAGATCATAGTGGAATTGCTTGAATGAAGAGAATTGGGGAATGAATACACAGAGCATCAATAAAGAGAGACTTTACGGCAGTGCTCTTATTTTTGGGAACTCCCTTGCCCCTCTGTCTTAAATGGAAATGAACTACCTGTTTTTTGTTCTCGTTTTGTTTTCACTGTGAGTGAGTGAATGAAAAGAAAAGAAAGGCATGTTGCTGTCCTTTTTTGTATGTTTCTGCTACATTAATGCACATTAGCAGAATCACTTTTTTATTTTGTAAGTCATGGAGCTCTGCGAGATCCTTATCACGGAAAGGAGAAAGCAATTTGGGCTTGTATATGTCTGCTAAAACATAGCTTAAATGTGTTTGGCTGATCCATGTGGAGGCTCCCATTGGGTACCCAATGGAGATCCAACAGTAAACACTGATTACTTTTCAACTTTTTGCAGTTTATGTATAAGCTGCCTTGAGTCCCAGTCTGGTAAATAACCACCACCTAGATAACTTCCTCAGTAAGAGAGGGCAAACCCCCTGGTATGTTACTACTGTGAAAGCTATCTTACTTCCACTGTTGGAAGCGGTATGCTTCCGAATATCAGTTGCTGGAAAACTCAGAAGGTGAGAGTGTGATTGCACTTGGTCGCTAGTTGTGGACTTCCCATGGCATCCTAAACAGGGTGTTGGACTAGATGGGCAACTTGCAGGTTATGTTCCTAAAACTTACAGAAGAATTTCAAAGGCATTTAAGAATTAACCCCCCCACCCCAAGTCAGTGAATTCACCTAAACTCTCAAACTGCTGATATTCCTAGTACCATTAGTAATCCAGTTTATTTTGTTGTATACTTGTATTAGCACTTCCATTTGATGCCGCTGAGTCAGGTTTCTGCTGATGCCACAGTTCTTTTTTATTGAAATAAGTTTCATTTCGCACCATTTCAGCTAGAGAACCAATGTGCCAGTATGAAAGACTCCCTGTTCTTTCCTTTGTGCTTCTTAAAATGGGTTTTGACCTGTGCGGCCATGATAGTTCTGCTTAGAGACTGCACATGTTCCATTTTCTTCCTCTTATTGCAATGGGAAGAAGATGACATGTTTTAAACTCCCCAGCAGGTATTGCAATTCGGACCCAAAGGAGAGAAAGCAGTCAGTTTTGAAAGTATGCTCCAACAAATGTTCTCAGTTGAGTTATAAACGTGCTTTTCCTTAGTTATGTTACTCAAAATAAATGGTTAGGTAAAGTGTCTCATAATATTTTTCATTGCTGTTATGTCAGACTTGGGTGAAATATGGTCTCTCCGTAATTGATATACCTCCTAGGATGTAGCATCCTGGAACTCGCCATTTTTCAAATGAGCATTGTTCACCTGGCTCCATCCACATAGAGCTCCAGCAGATTCCTCACCCAGCCAGCTGTCCAAAACGGCTTGTGCTGAGCTGTGTGCATTCAAGTGAAATAGTTGGAAACTACTTCTCTTGGAGCCTTTTCAAAACCCTCCATAAACAGGTTGTCATTCAAATGGTAAAATAATTCAAAGCCTTGCATTACCAGAGATGAAAATAAGCAAATATTATGGGTGCTATTGGCCATGCTTGCTGGGAATTCAAGTTCAGCGACACCTTCCAATCAATGGTACATTGGGACACCAGAATGCAGAAAATTGGAAACTTTCAGATGCTGCCTCCCTGTTTATAGGAACATGGGACATTCCCAGTTCTTTCTGGGGATGCTAGGAATTGAGTTTGGGACGTTCAACATGCTAAGTAGATGCTTTATCCCTGAGCTATAGCCTTAAAGTAAGAAACCATGGCTCACAAAGAGCAGTCAAACCAGAAAAAAATTCTGCATTGCAACAGAAGTTAAAATATTTATGCCCCGAGACACAAAATGTTTTACTCATGTGACCAAACAGAATCAGATCATTCTGGCTGTAATCCAACACAGACTGATACTAGTGGTTTTCAGCATTTCTGTATTGTGGCCTTTGACTTCTTTTGGAAACAGTTGGCAATGTGAAATGTACATGGCTGTTAAGGGGCAGGCAACATCCTTGCTTCGGAACAAATCCTTTGCAATTATTTAGTTCAATTTATATCCCCCTTCCTTTCAAAGGAGCCCAAAGGAGATTGATTTAATTAAATCTACGGCTTTGTTCATGCAATGTTGTGCATGTCCTATAGTACAGCTAAGTTCATTATTTGAGTTACCTCTGCAATGTTCATTCTGTAATCTTCCTGTGGATATGCACTTGATTCAGGCAGTGTTAGAATTTTGTTAGGTTCTGGATAGCTGTTAAAAAGAAGTTACCTCGTGTTGCTGCATTCAGTTTTAGAGGGTGCAATAAACATCTTTTGGTTCCTAGTCCTGAATAATGAATCAATATTGACCTAACAGCTCATTAAAATGAATAATAATTATTTTATTATTTGTACCCCGTCCATCTGGCTGGGTTTCCCCAGCCACTCTGGGTGGCTTCCAGCAAAGATTAAAAATACATTAAAATAACATTACACATAGCATTGCAGCTATGTAGATAATAGAATACTATCTTTTTATGATGGGGTGGTTTTGCATTTTCTGACTAGTGATAAATGCATTGGTAAGTCCAACAATCGCAGTGAAATGTGGAACAAATGACTATGTTAAGATACATTTTAAAAGAAACTTGGAAACACATACACTAAGCAGAAGAATAGAAGCATTGTTACCCCTCCCTATGTACCTTCCCCACCCTCCAACTCTTCTCCCCTTTTTTCTTCCCAGCCTTATACTGCATGCAACACTAACGCCTCACAACAAATGAAACTGAGCTGTAGAAAACAAAACTTGAAAAAAGAGACAATGCACGTAATTCTTTTTGTAAACTAAGACATCTTTAATAAAAGTTATTATTAAAAAACACTTTGAAAAAAGCACAAGCTTCACCACTAGAGGGCTTCCAAACACCACATTTTTCACTGAGCTGTATGTGACTCCTAAGAGATGAGGTTCTTGCCTCTGTTTTCAATCTAAAGCGATGTTTTAAAAGTTGTATCTGTATGTACCAGAAGCATTAGATTTACTAATGCTATAAATTACTTGGATGTTTAGCCTTTTCATGTAGTCACGGTTTAATGTCCTGAAATGTATTTTGTGCCCGTGCACAAGTCAAGCTTCTCAGCTCAAGTAGCGTTGAGATGCTGCTGGTGTTTGCATCTTGGGCTAAGGGTGAAATGCAAGTATGTACGCTGATTGTGCCTTGTGTGTGTCACATTTATGGCAGTCAGGATAGTAGACTCTGCAGTAGTCACACAACACGACTTGATTCCCACGTTTGGAACAACTTCATAAAGTGTAAAAGAAAAATGCTTTAATAATTTGCTAAAATGCTTCCTAAAACGACTTGCCTCTATGCTTGTTCTTATACTTTCAAAGCAGACGACGACGAAGGAGCTTTTAATATTATGTGGCTTTTAACAGAATGCTCATTCCTAGCAGTTTGATTGGAAACACTCTTTAACTAAAACTATATTTTTTGTTTTAAAACAAGGCACACCACATATTTAGATGCAGTCTCTTATATCTGTCTTGCCCACAGGCTTTCTGGCTATATACTTTAAAATATAAACATTTAAAAATAGACTTGTAGTGTTCACAAATAAAACATATGCCCCATGTGAAAAAAGACTGTGCAAATGAAGTCCTTTTATTACATTAAAAAACAAACACTGTTAAAATGCTTTGTTTCTAAAACTTTTGCCGATGACTATGTATTTCTGCAAAATAGCAGACAATATCTTTAAGGCCGCTTACTAATAGACTTTGGCCATTAGGCGTTATGAAGTAAAGAAAGTAGTATTAATTTCAAAATAGACATAGAGTCTAGCAATAAAATGATTCGACTTCGTTGTTAACTAAACGGGTTCCTTGTCTGTAAAGCCTGAGGGATATTTGTTCTCCGGAGCTCACTGACATCTTTTGTAGACACACTAAAAGCAAGAGATACTTGCATATCTGCAAGCACTGAAGAGTAAATGTGTAAATCGCTAATGCATGAATCTCAGCTGTGCTTGGATCTGCGTGCTCCAAAGTTCTTTTAATGACACCGATCTGGCTGTGACTGGGACTTGTGTTAACTGTGATTCATATCCATCTTGTTTTTGCAGTTACAATGGGGGTTCAGAACCAGTTTTAAGTGTCTAATCTGATCCTCATCATTATAGCTTATCCTAGCACTTTTTTTTTCTGCAAAGATTTACTATAGAAGTCTTCTATTACTATAGAAACAGCAAAGATCGCACAACTTACAACAATCTGATCCGATACAGAAATGTCATAATGAAAACATAACTTTGAAATGAACAACTTATATCAAATAAAGTAATATTCAGTAATCCATTGGGATTACAATAAAATAAAATTAAATATCAGCAAATAAACAAAAATTCACTCTTAATTGCAATAAATATTTTCTAAACTATAATAAATAAAAATAACAAGTTACAGTGCATAAAATAACACAGTACAACTTGAGAAGCAAAGACACACACTATCTATCTATCTATCTATCTATCTATCTCCCTATCTCCCTGAACTCCAGATTGGGCTGGGAGAGAATCCCATCTGAAATCCTGGAGAGATGCAGCCTGTTGTTGTATTCTTGAATGGTCTGACTCAGTGTGAGGCATAATCCTGCATTTCTGTGGATGCAAACTTTTACACATCTAACCCGAGATCAAGCCCCATAAACCTCCACTGTTGGTCTGTAGGTTCATATTTTTTCTTTAGTATTTTGGTGCAGATCCGTAGGATGCCACCCTATGGTGTAAATTACAGAGATCTAGATTGTGGTGGTGGTGGTGTCAACAGCCCAGCCAAAAACAGTATGTGCTTCATCTGAGGCAGCTACCTCCTGGACTTTCCTGTTGGAAAGGCGGATGGTTTCGCCACTTTAGGACAGAGTTGTGTAGGGTCCCTCTGCCAAACAGTAGCCAAGGAAGACTCCTGCTGGCTTCTTCTGTGGGAAAGGATAGGGCAAGGAGAAGCTTGCCAGCTTGGCTCCTCTGAAGTGAGGCATACTAGACATTGCTATCCAGCTGATTGGAGCAACCCATGCTTACATCCTGCAGGAAGGCTTGTTGCTTGTCAAAGGTCTACATCACAGTCACCAGGGTCACTGAAAAAATATTAAAAGTTGGGTTCTTGGGTTCATGAAACAAGCATTTGTCCCCCCAAATGGACAACACACCATTTTAGAGCCCTTTAGAGACATTGAAACTGGCCTCAGTCACTGCTTTCTTCCTCAATCTTTTGCAGCCATTATTCTCAACAGTTATTTATAAAATAAAAACTAGTGGAACATACCACTACCATTGTAAAGTCAGCAACACTGCTTACCTTTGGGTCTGACAGTAGATTCCTTTCTGTGCAGTATTATGTATGTTAAAGCTGCCCAGATGCTATGAACTGAAATCTGAGTGGCAGGGTGTTTGCTTTCATTTTGTTAGTTTCTAAAATATTTTGGTAGATGCTCTTTGGATAATCAGTCAGTGTCTATATACAGCCCATCATCTTCCTTCTACAGCAATTGCTGTTTCCTTCGGGAAGGAATTAACATACAAATTTCTGAATGAGGTTCTCATTGAGCTGTTTTCTCAAACTATGCTAATTAGGTTTGGATAGAAGAATCCCCTGTGCATCTAGTTACTGAACCTTTTGACAGATTCCAAGCATATTGGTGTAGATGTTCCAGCCTTGTGAGGAATGGAAGAATTTAGGAGCAGACTTCGGTTTGTGTTAAGTCTTTTGAATGGCTGCCTTATTTTAAGACACCCTGCAGTATATTTTTCCAGATTCAGAATCGAAGCATGATAGACTTTCCTTTTTTTAAGTGCACAGAACTTTTGGGTAGGGGGAGGGTGGGACAAAGAGGCTGCTTAAGCACCAATATTTTAACATGTTTTAAGTTACTTATAGCATTTGAACACGTCATTGGCGAGGAATTTAACTTTGTGGTGACTCTGTCACGTTCTTTTCCCACTCGAATGTTGTTCTGGTTGTCTGTGTCCTCCTCTGTGCTGTCTGGCAAATGCTGAACTGCACTGTTTTTTGGTTTTTTAATTCAAAATGTTCCAAACCAGGCACCACATTTGTATTGTCTTGTGCCATGCTTTTAAGTCTTAGCTGTGATGAGTTTGGGCCATCACACAGTAAGAAAGGGGAGGACAAATTTATCACTGTATAAGGTTTAGATTAGAAAGTGGAGGGAGGACAAATAATTCTTAGTTCCTTTGTTGCTGCTTTGTTGTCTCTCATGAAGTTGGAGGAGGAGGTACAAAGGGGAAGATGTATAGATGTATGGTTCTGTCCATCAGTTAGGAGAACGAATGTCTCACTGTGCAGAGTAAGCAGCAACAAAGGAAGTAAGGTAAAGGTAAAGGGACCCCTGACCATTAGGTCCAGTTGTGAACGACTCTGGGGCTGCGGCGCTCATCTTGCTTTACTGGCCGAGGGAGCCAGCGTACAGCTTCCGGGTCATGTGGCCAGCATGACTAAGCTGCTTCTGGCGAACCAGAGCAGCGCACGGAAACGCCGTTTACCTTCCCGCCAGAGCGGTACCTATTTATCTACTTGCACTTTGACGTGCTTTTGAACTGCTAAGTTGGCAGGAGCAGGGACCGAGCGACGGGAGCTCACCCCGTTGCGGGGATTCGAACCACCGACCTTCTGATCGGCAAGCCCCAGGCTCTGTGGTTTAACCCACAGCGCCACCTGCGTCCCTAACAAAGGAAGTATGAGCCACCTATTCTTTTTTTCTATCCTAGTGTACATTGTTCCATCAGTTTTGTCATTGGGATTGCTAGTGCAGGTTGATAACGCTGGGGGAGCAGATATAACTGGACAACTGCTTCTTATTCTATCATTCATTCAAGGTAGGGTGCGCTTAGTTCTTCCCCTCTTCATTTTATATGCCCAACAGCCCTTCAAGGTAAGTTATGATGAGAGCGTGTGATTGGCCCAGAGTCACTCCATGAGCTTCGTGGCCGAATGAGAAGGGCTTTTTTTCTCGCTGGAACTCACCAGAACTCAGTTCCAGCACCACTCAGGTGGGCAACATTGCCATTGTAAGAGAACAAGGGAGGTGCCCATGGTGAGTTCCAGAATAATACTACTACTACTACTACTAATAATAAATTTTATTTATATCCCACCCTCCCTAGCTGAAGCCAGGCTCAGGGCGGCTAACAACAATAAAATAATACAACTTTCTAAAATCATTTCATTATAAAATTAATTCAAATCAAATTGATGGCAACCATTGGGCTAGAGTTCTGTGAAGATTGCCAAAGGAGGAAGTCAGGCTGTGCCCTGGCCAAAGGCCTGGTGGAACAGCTCTGTCTTGAAGGCCCTGCGGAAAGATGTCAAGTCCCGCAGGGCCCTAGTCTCTTGTGACAGAGCGTTCCACCAGATTGGAGCCACAGCCAAAAAAGCCCTGGCTCTAGTTGAGGCCAGCCTAACCTCTCTGTGGCCTGGGACCTCCAAGATGTTTTTGTTTGAAGACCGTAAGTTCCTCTGTAGGACATACCAGGAGAGGCGGTCCTGTAGGTACGAGGGTCCCAGAACCTCTTTTTCTAGAAAAATAGCACTGCCCATGAACATTTGGACACCGATCTCCCAGGTCTTAATCTCAACACTCTTAACCACCACCCTGGGGCTTGGATTAAGCATTCATAGGTCTGGTTGAATGGCCACTTTTACTGTAGGGATGGGCAATTGGTTTCCTACCTAGGCTCCCAATTCTAAGACATCTTCTTTTTCCTGTGTATATAACTTGTTTCCATTTAACTAGGCCTCCCGCTTCTTTTTTCATCAGATTATTTACATTCTTGTGGTGAAAGTAGGGTCGAGCCTTTCCTTGGTTGAGAGGTCAGTTCAGCCTTTTTTTGGCTATAAGGGAAGACAATCAGACCTCCGGGTATAGGGCGGTATATAAATTCAATAATAATAATAATAATAATAAAATGACATTGCAATCTAAACCAAATCTACTCAGAAGTAAGTCTTGTTGAATTCAAAGGGACTTAACTCTCAGTTAACATCAAAATGTTTTAGAGCCGCTGCTGGATTTTTCAGCGATGTGAGATTTAAGAAGATAAAAATGTTTCTGCAGATAACTTGAATGGCAAAAGCACGAGCATAAATACAGGTTACAGCTAGTTTTAAAAGGCAGCAGGCTGCTGACCCGCAGCACCACCATTTGATATGTAGCATATAAAATAATAATACGAAATTTTAACAACTTTCGCCTTTTTCTTTCAGGACATTGTACCAGTGGATGCCTCTTACGAGGTTAAGGAGCTGTATGTGCCTGAAAACAAACTTAAATTGGCCAAAACAGATGCAGAGTCTTTACCTGCCCTGGAAATAAATAAGGTAATATAGGTTTGCAAAGCCCACAAAAGTATTTTTACTTGTCCAGATAGAACCTGTGTGATTTGTGGCATATTGATCTCCCAGTCTGCTAAAACTGTTTTGCCTTGGAGTCTTCTCTTGCTCACCCCTCGTGATTGGCTGAGTAGCGATTTGCAAGCTTGAGATACAGTGGTACCTCAGGTTCCATACGCGTCAGGTTATAGACTCCGCTAACCCAGAAATAGTACCTCGGGTTAAGAACTTTGCTTCAGGATGAGAACAGAAATCGTGCTCCGGCGGCGCGGCGGCAGCAGGAAGCCCCATTAGCTAAAGTGGTGCTTCAGGTTAAGAACAGTTTCAGGTTAAGAACGGACCTCCGGAATGAACTAAGTACGCAATCAGAGGTACCACTGTAGCAGGAATTGGGTTCTGTTTCCATGATTCAATTTCAAACTACAATTCTGATTGTTCTGCCTTTCAGCCATAAGTCTATCCCCCCCCCCACCCCCGCCCAATGTGTCAGTGCTTTGGGACAACTTGCCTTACTTTAGGAAGTATCTTGTTGATATCATTGAACTGGCCTATTTTCCCTTTCTAACTAGTCTGCCACTGTCTCCGGTAATTTTCCCCCCTACAGCATCTGTATTGCATCTGAGTAGCCGGTAGTTTAATATAATCACGTTTCTGAAGTCTTCAGTATGCTATGCATTTCCCTTTTTCCACTTCAGTTTAGATTTATGCCTCTGTTTTAATTGGTTAACTTCTCTTTCTGCAGTCCCGAATTTGGCTGTTGACCCCTGTGGCATTCATGCAACTTCATTAATCCCTTGTTTGTTAATGGCTACTTGTCTCTGTTTATCACTCTGAGCAGCTGTGTCTAGATGCAGTAAAGCAGTGATGGGGGATCTTTGGTCTAATATTATCAACTTTCCTGTTTTAGCTGGATATGCAGTGGGTACAAGTCCTGGCGGAGGGCTGGGCAACACCGCTGAATGGCTTTATGAGAGAGAGAGAATACCTGCAGTGCCTTCATTTTGACTGCCTGCTTGATGGTAAGACACCTTGAAATTTACATACAGTAGCATCAGTTTATGTTGGTCATGTGGGCGGGCTTTGGATAATCATCTCATTTAGTCTCTTTAAAACATAGCTTGTCATAGGTCCAGTAAAAAATTCAAAGTCAGCTTCATAAGCCACTTCAAACCATGAGTCATGAAGCTAGCCTATTAAAACTACCCATTGTTTGTTTTTAAACTAGAGTCATTGGTTTGAATGTGATGCTAAGCTGAGATTCTTCGAAAGACTCTCGGCTGAGTATGAGGAAAAGGGGAAAGTTTTGCCCAGGCTCCTTGAGGCAAAAGCCAATATTTTTGCAAATGTGGCTACTGGTAAAAAAACAAAACCCTCCTCTCCAGGGTTTTCCCCAAGCAATTGGAGACTGCGCCTGCACTTGACTGATCTTTCCCCTGCCCTTTTCATTTCTCTCTGTGTTATGGGGCACCAGGGAGCAGGGCAGCTGTTTGCAACAGGAGGGGGAGACTCCCTGGATTCTTCAGCAGCCTGTCTCATCTGTTTCCTGGTTCCCCTCCTCTCCTGCCTCTGAGTCTGGTCTGCCTTCTGCCACAGTCTCTTCCTGCTCACTAAACGCTGTTGTCCCTTCAGCTTCCGACATCTCCTCCCCACCAGTTTGCTCCCTCTTCTTTCTCTGACCTTACATCATTGTCCCACCACCAATCCCCTGGTTCTGAGCCTTGTTCCCCTAGGGGGTTCCCTTGGAGGTTCCCCAGCTGGTGCCTCCCACCTCTCCTCTGCATCCAGCCAGACCATGACATCACATATGGTTGAAACCACATACATGAAATTCATGTAAGATGCATGCGCACAGACACACTCAACACACACAGCTCCCTGTCACATATAATATATATGCACATGCTTAAATATATTTATACACACAAACATATTTATTGATTTATCTTGTGGACTAGTAGGGACCCAAAAAAATGATCTAGATGTCATTGCTGAAAAAAAGAAGGAACCTGCCAGGAGTCCAGGGGTCATAGTGAGTTTCATAAAGGAGTGAGAAACATGTAAGAGAAGAGCTAATATGTCAAATGCATGGATAGCCATCTGCAAAACATTTACTCTACAAATATTATAACCTTGTATACTAAAATTTGTTTCTTTATTGGAAACAAATGTAGTTCTAAGAATTCCAGGTAATAGCTTCCCGCAAGCATAAAATCAACTGGCAATCGTTGAAGCTTGAAGTGATAAATGCAGAACGTTTCTTTGTAAGGAAATGGATATTTAAAACAAACCATGTATTGTTGTAGGATCGCCATGCATTGCAGCAGGCTGTTGGGTGTCAAATTCGCAAGACATAGACAAAAATGCCATGTTCCAGATTAATTTTGTAGGAACTCCCTATTAATATGTGCACAAGCTTTTTCAGCTTGAGCATAAGTTTTGTCAGTGTTACAGTAGGTTCATATTTTGGAGATCTGTTCTTGTTATTAACATTGATTTATTAATTGCCTTCTAAGTCAGTGTTTCCGAAGCTTGGGTCTCCAGCTCTTTTTGGACTACAACTCCCATAATCCCCATCTAGCAAGACCAGTGGTCAGGGATGATGGGAACTGTTGTCCAAAAACAGCTGGAGACCCAAACTTGGCAAACACTGTTCTAAGTGAAGGAGCCTGCCTGATGCCGGAAGGCAGTGTTTTCCAAAGTGTAGGAACTGCCACAATGAAAGATCGATTTAGTACAACTCCGGAACAAATGCTATGTGGCCGTGCCAGTTCTGCGGATTGAAGTGGTTGAATGGGTATATATGTACTTTACCATAGTACTTTTGACATTTGAGAGATTATTGTATTATTCCTACTAATTTTTATGTGCATCGGTGAGCTCCCGATTGCTCGGTCCCTGCTCCTGCCAACCTAGCAGTTCGAAAGTACGTCAGAGTGCAAGTAGATAAATAGGTACTGCTCTGGCAGGAAGGTAAACGGCATTTCCGTGAGCTGCTTTGGTTCACCAGAAGTGGCTTAGTCCTGCTGGCCACATGACCCGGAAGCTGTACACTGGCTCCCTCAGCCAATAAAGCGAGATGAGCGCCGCAACCCCAGAGTCGGCCACGACTGGACCTATTGGTCAGGGGTCCCTTTACCTTTACCTTAACCACCTTAGTAGAAGTAATACTGGAGAATGGATTGCATAAGTCAAGTAAGTCTGTCTGTGTTATACCTACCCCTGCCAAAATGTGAACTTCCTTTTATTTCCTCAAAATGCTTCAGTGGGTGCTTCCAACTTTTCTGCAGCAGTTGGGTATCTCTTAGCTTCCAATCTTGCGGATCACCAGAAGGAAATATGTGTCTCTCTGCCCCAGGCATTAGTTATTTGCTTCAACTGCATGACAATAAGGCAATTTCAAGCCAATATGGCAGGGGCAGTATTGGGGAACAGTCGTGTGTGCCCTACTCAATTATGGAAGAGCTGGGACTTCGCTAAGTTTTTACTGTTGAGTTGGCGGGTTTTTCCACAAGGCACGTTTCCTGGGTGTATCTGTGAATTGATGGCATTGCAGCTCTTCCAGAGAACCTGGAACCATTGCAATAGCAGCCCGAATGCCGCATGTGTTTGGAGAGTGCAATTGCTATTTGCTTTGCAGTGAGAATGAATATTAGAATGAGAGAGTCTCATGCAACTTGATTCCATCTTCCAGCTCGGGGCAAGGGATCTTCCACTTGTACCCATAATAGACCTATTCCTTGGTTGCCTTTACCTAGATACCAGTCTGGAGAAGTAAAAAAATTCTGCAAAGGATTCCCGAGACAGGCCTATATCTCAAGTGAACCCAAGGCTAAGTAGCCCTGCTATGCATTAGGAAAGGGTGGGCTCTCAGAACAGTAGGCTTTTAAGCACTGCTGTTTTCAGGACACCTGGATGATTTTTCCATTTAGATGACAACTACCATTGCGTTGCTTCTTCTTCTTTTTTCACCCTACAGGGGGAATCATTAACCTGTCAGTGCCTATAGTGTTGACAGCCACAACGGAAGACAAGGAGAGACTAGATGGCTGCACAGCTTTTGCTCTGCTGTATGACGGTCGCCGTGTGGCTATTCTCCGCAATCCAGAGTTCTTCGAGCACCGGAAAGAGGAACGCTGTGCCCGGCAGTGGGGGACAACGTGCAAGGACCACCCTTACATCAAGGTAGGCTTTTGCAAGGCTTGCTAACCTGAAGCTCTTAATGAAGTTCCATACAGAAGTGCGAGGAATAATCCATATGCAAACCACAGCCCAGATTCCAATCTTCCCTAGCAAATTCTCTCTCCCGTTTGGTACAGCCGACTGCTTGTGGACACATTCTGTGGCCATTCAGAGAGTGGAAGCCTGTCTCGGATGATTGTGTGTGCATATATGGATAGATATGTGACAGAAACAGATTTAGGATGAGCCCCGTAGTCTGCCAGGGAAGATCAGAGAGAATTTTGTCCTCTCCTGTGGTTTATAAATGTAGCCTTGTGTGCAAGAGACATAGAGGAAGCACACCAAAATGAATTACTCAGCAGCGATGACAGGAAAACAGCTGGCTGCTCTGCTTCAGGGCTTGGCTCAGCCGGATCAGAATATTTAGAGCCCAGTCTTCAAGTTAATGATTTTTTTTTTAATGCTATGTTAATTGTTAAATGGCCCTAATTCAGGTCATAGTTCAAATTCTTAAATGGGGTAGAATGCCAGTTTTGCTGCAGGTATGCTTGGGCAAAAGTGGATTTTGTGGGGCTGGGTTGGAAAAAAACATTGTGAAGGCAGGGGTGGGGAGAGAACTGCCTCGCTCCATCTATGGGGCAGGTGGGGAACTGAGTTTGTCTCCCTCACCCCCCACCAACAGAACGAATGCTCTGCCCCAACCACTAGTTGCCTTAGGTCTGGGAAACACAATCTGGCCTCTGCTGTTGAAGAGTTTGGATTTGGATTTGATATCCCGCTTTATCACTACCCGAAGGAGTCTCAAAGCGGCTAAGAATCTCCTTTCCCTTCCTCCCCCACAACAAACACTCTGTGAGGTGAGTGAGGCTGAGAGACTTCAAGAAGTGTGACTAGCCCAAGGTCACCCAGCAGCTGCATGTGGAGGAGCGGAGACGTGAACCCGGTTCACCAGATTACGAGTCTCAACCACTACCCCACATTGGCCAGAGGAGCAACACTGTAGGATGAGTTGCAGAACATGTATTCAAGGAAGGCAGAGAGAGTCTGGCGTAGTGGTTAGAGTGTCGCACTAGGACCTGAGAGAGCAGGGCTCAAATCCCCAATCCGCCATGAAGCTCACTTGGTGACTTTGGGCCAGTTGCTGCTTCTCAGCCTAACCTACCTCACAGGGTTGTTGTGGGGATGAAATGAGGAGGGGGAGAACCATGTACACCACCTCGAGCTCCTTGGAGAAGAAAGTGGGACCTAAATGCAGTAAATAAATAAACAAACCACCAACAGTTTGGCCCCAAATGGACACAAAAGCCCGTTTCCAACTCACCATTTTTGTTACGGCATTGTCAAACTGATCCCCTTCCTCTGCATTTCTCCCACCCCCACCCCAATTCCCTTGTATATGTTTTCTTTTTAATTTGTGAGCTTTTTTTAAAAAAAGTGAGTTATTTTGGGGAAAGTTGGATGAAAATAAATATGTGAAGTATAGCTTGGCACGATGGCGCCAGGGGCATATAGCAGCTCTGTTGCGAACTAGGTGAGGGCATCTCGAACACCACCTTCACTAGTCTTAAAGCGTCAACAGTGGCTCCTGATCAATTTCTGGGCCCAATTCCAGGTGCTTGTTTAAAACGCCATAGTCCTGTTGGATCAATCAAAGACATCTTGGTTCCGATAATGGCCATCTACTCCTGTTCCCAGCAAGTGGCCTTAAGTGGTGTGCTGAGAGCCAGTGTGGTGTAGTGGTTAAGAGCGGTGGACTCGTAATCTGGTGAACCGGGTTCGCGTCTCCGCTCCTCCACATGCTGGGTGACCTTGGGCTAGTCACACTTCTCTGAAGTCTCTCAGCCTCACTCACCTCACAGTGTTTTTTGTGGGGGAGGAAGGGAAAGGATAATGTTGGGCCGATTTGAGACTCCTTCAAGTAGTGATAAAGCGGGATATCAAATCCAAACTCTTCTTCTTCTTCTCTGATAGCGGAGCAGAATTCAGTCATTGTAACTATTGGCCATTGATAGCAGTGCCCAATCCCCAAATCTGAAATTCAGAATTAAAAACAGCTTAGACAAATTGCAGGAATAGTGTTGCATGCTGTTGAAACAACTCCCTTCCTTAAATTTCATAGATGGTCATGGAACAAGGGGATTGGCTTGTGGGGGGTGATCTCCAAGTCCTTGATCGCATTTACTGGAATGATGGCCTTGACCAATACCGTCTCACACCTGCTGAACTAAAGCAGAAGTTCAAAGACATGAATGCTGGTAAGTTATTGCATGAAGAGGGGTGGTGTGAAAGTGAGCAAGAGACAGAGAAATTCATTTCCCGCTGCCCAGAAGCTCACCAGCAATGTCTCTTTCAGCAAAGGGCAGCACAGTACCAGTGGGATTTTACTTTATTTCCCCTTTTTGTTTTGAACAAAACACAATTTCTGTGATTGCAGTCCTAAAAAAGCAGTAGTGAAGGACTGCGGTCAAAGTAGTTCTGAAAGTGTTTGCTTGCCTTCCAAAAGTGATCGGCGGTGGTAACAACTTTTCAAACACCTTTGGTGATGTGTGCCCAAGTTTTGCTGCACCTTTTAAAAGACTTGCCAGGTAAATCCCAGCGTGTGGTGAATCTTATGGTCTCTCTCAGTACTTCGACTGTTTTGCCTTTGTTGAATTGTCCTAGATTTTCTTGTGAAAGCAATAAAAAAAAAGTCCTTGCAAAGGAACAAACCACATGTGTCTCACAGGGAACTCAGAGTGCGATGAAAGGTATTACAGTTTTTCTGAAAAATTAGTTTTGGGAATAGTTTTGCTAGCTTCACAGCCGAGTTGAGAAATCCGCAGCCTGTTAGGTTGTTTGTTTTGTTTTCCATTTTTGTGTTTCGTGTTAGAGAAATAAGGAACAGACCAAGCAGTAATAATCTGGCAGCTGATTGTTCTGTGCTGTTTTAGCTGGGATAGTGAGAGCAGCCTCCTGTACAACTCTCAAAAGGGTGCTTGGGGGAAGGCGGCTGAAAACAGAGGCAGGGGAAAAATAAAAACCCATGTTCTTCTTTGAAATAACCAAATTATAATAGGTAGGACCCCAAGCTTGAATTAATTTTGGTTTTATATCGGAGAGAGGCGGGTTAAATCTCCATTGGTAAGGTTGATATTTAAGGGTGAACTTTTTTCTTTGAATTTATTTTGGCCCTGAGATATTTCTTTAATAGGGCAAAAGGGCATGGCAGCATATGTGAAGGCGTTGTGCTAAAGGGTTGGGTTTTTGGAAGACAGTACTTTTAGAGTTATATAATTATAACTGGTAATTCATTCACCTGAGTTAGCTTTATTAAATATATTTCAGAGTCAGAATGCAGATATCTTATTTAAATCTCTCATTGCTTACCCACTGTTTGCCCGGTTTGGGAAAGACTTGGAAGGGGTGTCCTTATCAAATTGGCTTAAAGGAGCTTGGACCGATGGAGAAATTGAACAACAAAATATGGTTAGCTCATGAGCGAGACACAAGGACTCATTTACAACTGACTACATAAATAAGGAAAAAAATTCTGATATTTTTTTTGAGACATCCAGACTTTTTGTCGTTGTTCTGTGTCTTTAGACTGCTGATTGTGTATTCTTGTGCTGTATTTTCACAATAATTTTTGTTAAGGGTTTTGTGTGTTAGTTTTCCAAAAAGTCCATAAAGTTATTTTTTTAAAAATAGAAAAAAGTTTTGTGGATGTGTTTGCAGTGGGAAGGAACTTCTAGTAATGAGTAGTAGTTTTAGAAAACATTCTTTAGAATATACTGGACCTAAAGTTTTGCTACTGTACTGTTAGTATTACTTAAATTGATCAGCTCATTCAATCAGTTAGAGTAGACAGCATGTGGCACTCCAGATGTTCTTGGACTACAGCTCCCATGATCCTTCACCACTGGCCAAGCTGTCTGGGGCTGATGGGAAGTGGGGTCCCATCTGCATGGAATCTCATTTACCTGCCCCGAACAATTTCTAATCTCTGCAGGGTTCTGTATATTTCTTCCTTCCACTTCTAAGTTCGTGATTGTATTTAGTTTTTGTCTCTTTTTCATTTGCCATGCCAACAATTTACCACATTTATTGGCCGACCCCGAACTAGAAGTTAGGTAATGGAATTTAAAACCTTCCGTTGTCTTAAAAAGAAGCAACTTGACATTTACAGATCTTGAGTAGCTTGTTTGGAAAACCAAACATAACACGAGAACTGAGCTGCTGCACTTTTCTGTAGTAAAAAAAATGAGCAATGAGTAGAAACAGGACTTGTTATACTTGGGTTAAGAAAACGGAGGCTCTAGTCCAGTGATAGCAAGTCATGTGGAAAGAGATTTCCATGCGTGGCGAAGTTGAAGTGGGAAAACACACACACACCCTCTTTCCACTATGAAAGGGAGAAGCATCTTTTATCTCCCCCTGCTTTGCCCCATGTAGTGTCTGATTCTTGCCAGTTTTGATAACTTCTAAAACATGTTTAGGGCAAGGGGGAACTCGCTGCTCCTGTAGCAATGAGTGTTTCATTTGGGGTTGGTTTTTTGTGGAATGCCTATAATGCATACAAAAATTCCCTTGATTCAAGGGAATATGTTGATCGGCCAAGCCTCTTTTGATTCTTGGTTTCGCTACTCTTTTATTTTCAGCCATTTATCTAATTGAGAGCTATTTAAATATCCCTGTCAGAGCTCTCATCGCTCAGTTCGCAGCATTGAGACATTACACGACCAGTGATGAGATGCGGCAGCCCTGTGCTGCTGGGCTGCCGTTTGAAGGATCCTTGGCGCCAAACGCAGGTGACAATAGTGCTGGCGAAATGTCATATGATTGTAGAAAATGCCAGGCAGCCAGCCACTGGCTGAGACTTTAAATATTCCCAATAGAAGTACAGCCCTGTGTAGTAGTGTTCATTGCAGCAACGTTGCTCTTTGATCTCTCAAATGCTTGGCACTGTCAAGCGGACAGCTGTGTTGTCGTATCTCTCTTCAGTCGTCTGGCAGGGTTCCTGTCACCCACCCATTCCTCTCCCAGCTGCATTGGGAGCGAAGCCTTTCTGCAAATGATAGACTGTGCAAGGTCTGAAACCGAGGCCTATAGAACATTGCAGGCTGCTTGTCGCTGACGGCTTCTGCCTGAATGAATAACTGTCAAGCATATTGGCTCTCTCTTTCTCCCCTTAGACGCTGTCTTCGCCTTCCAGTTGCGCAACCCTGTGCACAGCGGACATGCCCTGCTAATGCAAGATACTCATAAGCAGCTTCTGGGTCGAGGTTACAGGCGCCCAGTCCTCCTTCTGCATCCTCTGGGGGGCTGGACAAAGGACGATGACGTTCCTCTGTCATGGCGGATGAAACAACACGCAGCAGTCCTGGAGGAAGGGATATTGAACCCAGAAACGACTGTGGTGGCCATATTTCCTTCTCCCATGATGTATGCTGGACCAACTGAGGTATAACGAGTGGTGTTTTTGTTCTTAGTTCATCCCGACTGATTTCCCTGATGTTCGTTTGTCAATATGGTCTCCTTCGGAGACAACCACTACACTCCAAAACCCTTGCGTGGTGGTTGTGCTGCGAGGAGTTTCCAGAGTTTGGTTTCAAGGCCTTAAATGGGAGGTCCTTCAGAAACTTCCTGTTTACACTTAAAGGGGCTTGTTGCGCCATCTCTTCCTCTTCCCTTTATTTCAAAGGTCATATGAGTGCTCTTTAACAGGTTGAATCGTGGCCAAAGCTGAAAGAGCTGGGTTCTCTTCTTATTCCAATGTTTTTCGTCTGATCTACATGGAGTTGAGGAAAACAGCTGAGAAGGGAACATGCTTTTGGCAGACTCCTTGACTGAGCAAATGGCTTCGAGGCATGACATGCAGTGCTATAAAGATGGCTTTCTTTCAATCTGCGATTTAGAAATATTTGAGTTGCTTATTGGTGGGGATTAAGCTTTTTTATACCCTATTGCCATTTTGCATTTTGTAAAGCTTTTGAGGTCGTTTCACTTCTGTTCCCTCCCAATTGCTTAAAGTCCATTTACTTTTAGGCCATTTAGCTTGCTTGCTGGGGTGGTGGCGGTGGTGAGTAAAATTCATGCAGAAGGCCGAACCACATTAATCCTAGGATTCAGGTGAAATATATCCTGCCATTTCTTTTGATGATCTTTCTAATCTGTGTCCTATCTGTATTTTGAAAGAGTCTCTCACTTGATGGACTCTTCAGCCTAGGGGAGAAGACTGGACTAAGGTGAGGTAGCATGTAGGATAGTAAACGCAACTTGGGACTTCTGTCCAGGGAAATTCTACTAAAAAGGTGCTAAACTCATAGCGTCAAAGCTGTGGGGTCTTGCATTGTTAGCTAGCCATCATGCCCTTTGTGTGTGTGTATATATATATGTTTAAAAAAGGTGTTTGCCTCAAATAACTGCAGAGAGCTTTGCAAAAACTCAAAACAGAAAACTATAATCTTAAGAATTCTGATACTTGGGCAATGCAAATGTTTTTGTGTGGAGAATTCCATCCTTTGGATCTCTGGCATCTTCCTTTCAGGCTTTCCTTTTCAAGACTTCCCTTATCTCCATTTTACATTCCTAAAATGCTAGTTTATTCTTGGAAGACCACTGTCCATGCATATTTTTAATGCTTCACACTATGGGCTATCACACTATCTGGAGCAGGGGTTGGGTAAATCCTGTTCACTACAATGGAAACAGATAACATGCCTGATCCCTTAACTACCATATTTATTGTGTTTTCCGAAAACTTTGCATGTGAACATGCTTTCCCTTGTGGTTTTGAGATGTGCGTTTGGAGAACATGGAAGCAAGGAGCTGAACAAAACCTGTAAACACTGTTTTCAGTCATGGATGCAAATAAAATAAGAAATGTTCCTTTATTTATGCCGCGTTTTTCAATGACCTCAGAAAACCATTTGCCAATAGTGTGTTTTAGACAACTAATAAAATACAACTCTTCCTTTAATCATTTTCTGTAGGTCATTTAGAAGACATTGGTACCAGATTTGTTTCTGTAGCACAAATGACTTGCAGAACAACAGACAGCTGCTAAGCCAATATGGTTATCAACTGTCTGAACATAGTTTCCCAGTCAGTAAAGATTTAATGGACATGTTTTGTTGGTCTCAATCTGATATATATATTTTTGAAACTCCTTTAAAAACAAGCTTTTTATGGGGTGCTGTCCAATAAGCTAGGAAATTGTGTTTTCAGCCTATAGGTTTATTACCTACATGATAGCAAAATATATGTTTGAAAAGTATAGATACTTTTGCAGGAGTGGGGTTGGGGTAAATCCTGATTGCTAAAATCATTGGGGAAGATCAGTGCATAGCGGCTTATGTCCAACACTATCAGTCTTTTGGAAAACAACCTTGCTCATGAACCTTATGAATTTTTACCAGTAGGATGGGAATCTTCCTTCCTTGCTTGATTTGCCTACAGCAACCTAAAGCAAATAATTTTCCAAATCTGTCCTAAACACCCAGAGCTGGAGTGGCACAGCTGTGCATCATTGTTTAAATAGGACATACTGGTGTAGAGCAAACTCCTAAAAGTTTGGGATAACAAGGGGGGGGGGGGACCCACATGTTTTTGAAACATATCTCCCTCCAGCTGCAGCATAATCTGTAGTGCATGTCCCTCCTTCTTGTGGTCAAGGTGAAAATGTTTACCACTTGTTCACTCTGGCAATTGTTCAGATTAGCTGCTGGCTGTCATACTTGCACTCTGGTGTGCAGAGGGTTTGGGTGGTAAACTTCTTTTGCTAATACAGTGGTACCTCGGGTTACATACGCTTCAGGTTACATACGCTTCAGGTTACAGACTCCGCTAACCCAGAAATAGTGCTTCAGGTTAAGAACTTTGCTTCAGGATGAGAACAGAAATTGTGCTCTGGTGGGGGGGCGGGTCGGCAAGAGGCCCCATAGGCTAAAGTGGTGCTTCAGGTTAAGAACAGTTTCAGGTTAAGTACGGACCTCCGGAACGAATTAAGTACTTAACCTGAGGTACCACTGTAATCTGTGCGTTTTATAATGTCGCATTTTAAAGTGTTTTGAAAAAAGTTGTGAGTGTGATGGTTGCAGTGGTGCCTGCACTTTTTTCAAAGAGGGCCGGATTTGATGAAGTGAACATGTGTGAGGGCCGACCAAAGTTGTTGAGCTTTTTGGGGAATTTAACCCCAAAGTTGTTGAGCTTTTCCTACAATTTTACCCCAAAGTTGTTGAGTTTTTTTTTTAGCATTTTACCCCAGGACATATACTGCCACGGGGGCTGGATTAAATTGACCGGCGGGCCAAATTAGGCCCCTGAAACGGACCTCAGACATGCCTGGTTTAAAGCTTTCTCTGAAACCTGACGTCTGACTTGCAACATAATGTGCCAGAAAAGAAGAAAGAGCTTGACTGCATCTGTAGTGGCACTGACGTGTTATGTTAATGTTTATTTCTGTGCTGCCTTTCAGCCCAAAAAAGCCCCCAAGCAGACTCACAAGAGATACAATAAATAAATAATGTTAGATACCAGATAAAAATCTTTTGGGCAGTATTCAGCACACCATGGAAAAGCTTAGAGGACACACTAGCCTGGAATCTGTACAAGAACTTTATTATTTCTCTCCAAGAGGAACAGAACAGCAACAGGAAAACTCCTGATTCTGCTGCACTGCCACCTAGTGATTAAACTATATAATGACACAATCCAAGCACATTACTTACTATGAAAAGTCTTTTTCCGCCCTGAATTTTGTAACTTTGTCTTTTGTGTTTTGTTTGTGTTGTCACTTCTGGGTAGATGAGAAACTCTGCAGTCTTTGACTACTGCAGAGGAGCTTGCAAGCAAGGGTGGGGGGAGATGAGTGAATGCTAAGAAGTATAAACCTTTTCAGCTTGCAGTTCTGGAGCTATTCTTAAGCATCCAGCTTAAAATGAATAATTTTTGTTGCAAACACTTTTTATTAGCAATTTATTTTATTATGTCAAAAGGATGTGAATTGGAAATCTCCTGGCTGGAATAAGCAAAATGGTGTTGTTTTCCTTGAGCAAAGGTTCTGGAAAAAATTAGGAGAATCTCAGCTTACTACTTCTCTTTCCTCTGTGGTTGTGCAAAAGCCTCAGAAACTCACAGATGAATAAAAGATCTCTAACAAACCCACAAAATCCATCTCATGATTAGCGCTGCAAAGTTGGATTGATTAACTGGTTAGATTATTCTTATTTTTTAAAACAAAATCTGTCGCTTGACTACAAAGATGCCCAGGCTAACTCTTGTTATTTTTGTTTTTAAAAGCATTTTTTAAAATTAGAAGTACATACTCAGGGTTGCAGGTTCGATGCCCGTATGGGACAGCTGCATATTCCAGCACTGCAGGGGGTTGGACTAGATGATCCTCAGGGTCCCGTCCAACTCTGTGATTCTATGACCTATATAATTCTATATCTTTCCAGGTTTATTCTGGTTTCAAATAAGGGTTAATATTATGGCATAAAACGGTAGCATTCAGATTAACTGGTAGCCTAGGAAACCCTCCTACAACATGAAGGGCAATATGGCCACACACCCAGCAATTACCGTAATTTTCCATGTGTAAGACGAGGATTGTTTATTTTAAAATTATGTTACAAATTGGGGGGTTGTCTTATACACGGATAGTGCAGTGTGGGAACGGGCGCTTGGTTGCTTCCGCGAGCAGGAGATAGTCAGTGGCAATTGGGCGGGTGATTGGAGACTGCGGCAAGGGCTGTTGTAGATTAGCTGTTGCTGCAGCAATTGGGCGGGTGATTGACAGGTGCTAGTGGTGACCAGGCAGACGATTGGTGACTTTGTCGACGTGTGAGATTGCCTGCGTTTGTTTGGTGGGTGAAAGATTATCAGGAATCCTCCCCCAAAACAGCTCAACAGCCCTGGGCAATCCCCCCTCAAAAAACCCAACAAGTCTGGGCAATACGCTCCCCACAAAAAGCTTAACTTTTGGCAACCTCCCCCCATTTTCTTAATTTGGAGTCCCCCAAAATAGGGGGCGTCTTATACACGGGGGTGTCTTATACACAGAAAAATACGTATTTCTCTGGGCAATGGGTTCACTCATGACCTTGAAACCATCTCACCAGCTTTTTGCTTTCTGCTTCTACACGCCATCCCCCCAACTTGTTGCTCTTTTAAGAATCCAGTTTCCCTCCTTGTCCATGCCTTCCCACTTTAGCTAACCAGAGTTGAATGCATGACTGCAATTGAAAGCTTTCCTTGGCACTAGTCTCTGTCTTGTCCAGAGGCATGCCTTTATGGTCACTTGATCAAAGGGGAGCTAATTGACTCAAATGGGTAGCCTCCCCTCGAGAGTGCTAGTTTTGACTCCTGGCAGGAAGGTTTCTTTGCCATGGGGCCGTCTACTGTTTTAGGGAACTGCTGTACAAATTACTTTCAAGTATTGCCTTTCCGAATGGTGTGTGTGTGTTCACCCATACCTAATAAACAAGTGGGTGACCACAGTAGCTCTGCTGTGGGTGAGCACATGACCTGGAGGCTTATTTCGGAGAGCTGGAGAATACTTTTTTGCTTTCTTGTACAGCGAGTGATGGGCTTCTTCTCCGGTTTCCATGGTTCCATCCTCCCTTCTGCTAACTTTGCTTTTCCGATCTCATCCTAGGTTCAGTGGCATTGCAGGTCGAGGATGGTAGCTGGAGCAAACTTCTACATTGTGGGTCGAGATCCTGCCGGCATGTCTCATCCCGAGACTGGAAAAGATCTCTACGATCCAACCCATGGTGCCAAAGTGCTGACTATGGCGCCAGGCCTGATAACGCTGGAAATCGTACCCTTCAGAGTGGCAGCTTATAACAAGAAAAAGAAATGCATGGATTACTATGACTTGGAACAGTAAGTTTTTTCGGTTTTAAGAGCTGATTAATGTCCCACGGTCCCACACAGTACGCTGGATATGGTGATTTGGAATTTGGCTTTGCACACCAGCACGTCTCAGCATATACCTTTCAAGTAAATTCTCATTTCTTGGGGTCCAAGGTCCATTCATTCCTGTCTTGTTTGGAAACCAATGGCCCCCACTGGAAACCATTTAGCGATTTTAAGCTGGTATCTTGTGAACTTTGTATAACCGCCCCCCGAAAACCAACTTGAATCTGCGCTGCTCTGAATTTGCTTTGCCAGTCTGGGTGGCCTGGGAATGAAACCAGGCTGTGTTCCCGTATCTATCATACAAAATATTGCTTTGCCACGATAATGTAGGCCATGTTTCAAATTTTTGTTTCAAACTTCTTCTTTTAAGAGTTTAGTTTCAGGTTACACATGATACTGTTGTTCAGTTTTACAAGTTTCTAGGTTATGTTTCAATTTCAGTATGTTTATAATTATGGGCAGTACTTTTGTCTGTGGTACCTGTCTAAAATCCCTCTGTATAAATCTTTAATTTTTTTGTTAGCATACTTTATGCAGAATGCTGCGTCGTGTAGGACAGAAATCAGATGCAAGGTAGGCTGTAGATTCACGTCACTGACAGATTTAAGGAAGCCTATTTATGCTTCAGATAGAAAAACAGTAAATAAAGAAACCTACAAAAAGAGACCTCAACAAAATACAGCGGATCAGTCGGTTTATTTTTATTCATTTATTTAATTTAAATATTTATAAGACACACTTTCATATAAAATATTGTTGGCAAGCAGAGGCATTATGTTGCAAAGTTGGTGCAAAATCAGGCATGCATAATTTTATAAACTTCTATTATCTCATCTCTTACTCTCCTCCTTCTCTAAGCTAAAAAGACCCAAACATTGCAACCTTTCTTCATAGGGAAGTCGCTTCACCCTTTGGTCGTCGCTCTTCTCTAAACCTTTTCCAGCTCTACAATATCCTTTTTCGGGTCAGGCGGCCCTACACACCGTATTCCAAATGCAGCCTGCACCAACAATTTGTGCAATGTTGTTAACGATACTGTTTAATTTCCAAGGTTTTTAATTAAGATATGCTGCATCATGGAGGAGATTAAGGGGGGGGAATGATAGTTTCCATAACATCACCTCTCGTATGAGAGGCAGAAAGAAATTCTGACACAATTTCATGCATTTTTTAGCATGAGTTGCGCAAGCAGCCCTAGTGACAATCCTGTTCTGGCTCCGTGCACAGTGTCACAAATCCAATATTCTGTCATCTGTTGGGTTGGTTGGTCACACAGGGTTAATCCTCCATTAGAAAGCAGGGCCAGTGAATGTGGTGTTTCTTCTGGAACACACACACACACACACACACACCAGATTCTGGGAGGGCCCAGTCAGGAAGCCCAGCTGGGAGTTAGCATTCTTGTTTTTATGTTCCGTAGCAACGTCACTCTTATTTGTCTCGCTGCTTCGTGTGGACAGGCATTGTCTGTCACACGGATTAGCACCTTGGATGTGTCGGCTGGGAATGGTGTCTGTACTTAGGCCTGCACTCGCTCGCAGCCAAGCTCTGCCCCGAATCAAACCCCAGCGAAGTTTCCAGAGCAGCCGGCCTTGTGGCGCAGGTGGCTGTTTGCTGGTTGGTGGCGGCCTGGAAAATGTATACTTCCCCTGCTGTATAAAAACAGCTCGCTGCATGCTGTGGCCTTTTCCATCCACGAGGCACGGCGGTGGTGGGGAAAAAGAAAAAAGCATGCGGCCGGGCAAAAGCTTCCAAGTGGTTCTTAATTAATTAGGCTGTGCCGATGTGTTTACTGTAGCTGGATTGGAAAGAAGATGGCTGGCAAGACGTGAAAGCAGAACTCCCATTTGGAATGGTGTCTGCAGCATGAAGCGCAGATGTAGGGTGAAAGATTCTCAGAAGAAGGTGCCTAGGGAGCGGCGCTTTAAATCCCCCTTCAAAAGGGAAGCATGCCAGCCGACAGAGCTACACACACACACACACACACACACACACACACACACACACACAGAGCTTGGCACTCTGGGGGAATATAAGGCTTTGATTGGCCTCCTTTCCCCTCTTTTAATCAAAAAGTCGGAACAGAACAAACTTGTAGGCTTTTATTATTCCATTTCCTGTGCCAGACAGCAGGTCATGCTCAAATCTTCTACATAAATATGGGTATTGTCACTTGAGGAATTTTTGATTAAACAAAATGCAGCGTTGGAGCAGTTTATTGCCTGAAGAGACAAGCAGCGGCCCTAGAGCACGATACAGATTGTCTGTTCTTCTCTTCCCCTTCCCCTCACCCAGTGCCATTTGTATTTGAATCGGAAAGACGTTTTTGAAACCTTGGCAGGCACCAGCCACATATTTTATTTTTTGCAGGCCCAATGCGCAAAGTGGAAAATTGGGAAGGAGTGTGCATAGGGAATGTTTCACAAGGGGGAAATTAAGATGGGTTTAGTCTTCCCAGAGTTTTAGACTCGGTCTTGGACTATCAATAGCAAGCATGTTCCTCAATTGTGTAGGTAGCACTTTGTCAAGACTTCTGGACGATCCAAGCAATGAATACAGTAGGAGGGCTTTTGAAGTATTGAAAACATTGATTGTGATGAAAGTTTGCCAGTAAACACACACACACACACACACACACAGAGAGAGAGAGAGAGAGAGAGAGTGTTTGGCCAGTTATCAGACTGCTTATGATGAAAGAACATCTGGCCTATTTAATTTTTTTTTTTTAAGAGTACATGTATTTGGCCATGTGAGGATGGGTAAATATTACAAGACAAGACTTGGCAAGTCAACCATATTGTTTTGGTGGTGCACAGATTCATAAGCTTTTATTGGAACACTACAATTTAGCCACAGGGTGCTGCTCAGAACAAGCATTGTTCAGCATGGAAATGTGTCTTGCAAAAAACCCAAGAGAAGTCCCTTTGGAGAAGTTAATAGTCCTGTGTCTTTGCAATATTGGATGTCCCTTTATCCCTTGCAGAGTTTTTGTATACAGTGGCTCTAGGAAGTTTATATCCGCTTCTGGAGCATTTGTTGTTGGCCCAAGAGAATGAGAGGTGGTTGCCACACATGCTTCTTGACTGATGGCTACAGTTTAGCAGGAGGGTCCTTTAGCTTAGTTAGAGAAACACTTGCTGTGCATTCAGAATTTGATAGCTCAGCTAGAACGTGTACTGCTGCGTAGCAAAGGTACAAGCAAGTCCCAAGAGGATGGTAGGAATGAATGTCAAGCAGAATTGTGGAAAACTTGCCCAGGTGAGGAAGAAAAAACCCTGGACTAAAAACTCTTGCAAGTACTGGGGGGCGGGGGGGCTTTCACTCTTCCCTATTTTAATAAACCTCTTATTATCCAGCCAGACTAATTGGATTCAGATCAGAAGAGAGAAAGTAGTTCTTCGAATGCAGTACATAATATGCAGAGTGCTGTATTCCACAAGACGTCGTGATGGCAACGAAAGCTTAGATGGCTTTAGAAAACGGGGATTAGCCAGATTAGAAATCTCTATCAGTGGCTATTAGGCATGGAAACTTAAGCGGAAACACATTTTGTGGTGGCTGTGTGCCACTGAATGCTGCTTGTTGGATGACATCGGAATGGCAAAGCTGTTGCTTATGTGCCCTGCTTGTGGGGCATCTGATTGCCCAATGTAGGAAACAGGACACCAAGCTAGAGGGGCGCCTGGCGCAATCCTGCAGGTGTGCTCTTACGTTACATCCTTATGACTTCTCATATGGCACGTGTTGTTTTGAAGCCAAAGAGAAACATAAACGTTGCTCTTTCTGATCCTCCACATTTTAATGATTGACGCTATGAGAATTGTGTTTTTTTTAACCTTTATCTTTTCCATTTATGAATTGCTTCCCGTTACGCATCCCGAAGCAGTTTACAATATAATAACATATGTAAAAGCAGTTTTTTAAAATAAAAAACCCCAGTTATAAATACAAAACAGTTTAAAACAACGGCATATACATAAAACCCAATTCAAATCCAAGGCAGATACCAACTGGGATAAAGGTCTTAGAAGACTTTAACGGGTGCCAGAAAGACAATAGAGAAGGCATGGGGCTGGTATGCAGTGGGAGGGAGTGCCAAAGGTTAGGTACTGCCTCACTAAAGGCTGGATTCCAACATTGTGCAGAACAGACCTCATGTAGGATGGCATCTGCAGGACTCCTCCTCCTTCAGAATGCAGTGATTGCTTGGGGATGTAGGGGATGAAGCAATCTTTTTGCTGAGGTGGATTTAGGGCCGCGTGACCCATTCCACCACACTGGGCGCTGAGCCTAGGGGACACCGCAGGTCACAGCAACTATGACATAGTTATTTGAGCAGGTGAGAGGTTTTTTTTGGGGGGGGAGGCGGGATTTGGCCTTGTACAGGGCACCGCTGAAATTTGAAAGGCCAAAGTCCGCCCCTGCTTTTAGATCTTTTTGTCACAAGCTGTATAGGACTTTGCGCACCAATGCCAGCACCTCAAACCTATCCCAGTAGCTAATCGGCAGCCAGTGTTGAAATATTCTTATAAAAAGCAAAACATCGTACGGAATTTTTTAAAAAAACCGTTCCTGCCCCAAAGATTGCAATTTAATAAACAGCATAGAGATTTTAAAAAAAGAAATCGGACACTCATCTAACCAACTTGGGTATAATGGAAGCCTCTATTTGTTAAGGTTCTTAAAGGATGAACCAGTTGAGTGTACCAGATCTCAACAAAAGCAGAGTATTGCAAGCAAAAGAGAGAGAATGACTCGAGTTACAAATCTGCTACCGAGATAGGAAAGGGGAAAAAAGGACCAAGGTCAAAACAAGTCCCTTGAACAGGACCCAGACATGAATGGGCTTCAAAAAGGCAAAATACGAATGTACCAACACAAACCTGCTCACAGTCAAAGTTGATGGACATCATTAAGGATTGCTCTTCATGCAGTTCTGCTTGACAGGGGCAATCAAAGAATTGCAACAATCCCACCTTCAATTGCATACAAAATAACTGGATGTTGCAACTTCGTATCCAGTGAATCAAATCAAAGATGTATGCCCCTGTTGTGTTGCATGCACTGTGAGAAAAACGTAGTCCCTGTTTGCTAAGTGTAGCTTAATATCCGCGCAAACAAAACGATCCCCAGCAAACATTTGGCTTCTATTCTCCCACCCCCACCACCACCACCCTGAGCCATATCCAACTGAGGTCAGCGTTTGGCTTATATTTCAAACAAGCTAGCAGCAGATGAGTAAGAAATAGATGCTGCAAACTGAATAAACAGAGTAAGTAAAACCATTGCATTTTATTGTTGGATTAATCGCTGTTGCTCCAGAGGATTTAGAAGTTCCTGTCTCTTTGCATCCTTATTTTTAATTTGCTTTAATAAAATTCAATCTAGGTACTTTACAAAAAAAAATCTTGTGGTGACCTGGATTTTTGGTTTTTGCCCCATGGGTCCTTCTAGCAATTTGATAAATGTTATGTTTCTGACTGAATGAAAATATTTTCCATTCTAGGAAAATGGCTTCATTCTTTTATTTAAGGCCTATAATTGCCATTCTGGGTTGCATAATACTGTCTCCCATAGCAGTCAGCTGGGTATCCAGGCATTGATGCCCACCTGTTTTATTTTTCAGTCTCAACACTGGTAAAAAGGTAAAGGGACCCCTGATCATTAGGTCCAGTCATGGCCGATTCTGGGGTTGCGGCGCTCATCTCGCTCTATAGGCCGAGGGAGCTGACGTTTGTCCGCAGACAGCTTTTCCGGGTCATGTGGCCAGCATGACTAAGCTGCTTCTGGCGAACCAGAGCAGCACACGGAAACACTGTTTATCTTCCTGCCGGAGCGGTACCTATTTATCTACTTGCACTTTGACGTGCTTTCAAACTGCTAGGTTGGCAGGAGCAGGGACCGAGCAACGGGAGCTCACCCCGTTGCGGGGATTCGAACCGCCGACCTTCTGATCAGCAAGTCCTAGGCTCTGTGGTGCCTGGTACGTGGAGGGATATTGCGTCTAAGAATAGCAGTCCCTTTTTCAGTTATCAGAGTCACTGTGATAAATATGTAAACTCTCTCTATATTTTTCTAATCCTTCTAAGAAGCCTGTAGTTTAGATTTCTTACATCACATTCTGTAGCGATGAATTTCGTAAGGTGATTATGTATAGAAAAACAAATGGTTCATCTTGGCATCTTCTGTGTGTGTGTGTGTACACACTCATGTGAACACAAACACATACATTTGCAGCAGAACTATTATTTATCTGTGGATCCTTATGCCGTTAAAACAGCACCAGTCACACCCAAGAGGAAGACACCAGCTCGCTCGAGGGTACCTGGAGAGTTACAGAAGTACAAAAAAAGGGGGTGGGTGGGACAATCCCTCCAAATGGCCCAATGAGAACTGAGAATGCTTGGTGGCCATGGAATGCCAGCTGACTGTTGGAGGGGGAAGAGAAAGGGAAAATGGAATGGGCTATACGGTGAAGGGCATGGCTGGCTGGACCTCTCAACAGGAACATTCCAAAGAGCGACATTTTATTGCAAGTCCAGCTTGTGTATATGGTTTTTCCTATTTGTTCTATTTATTACTGCATATGGAGACGCTGTAGAGCAGCAGTTCCTGCACCTCATGCCTCCAGATCAGGCTTCCTCAAACTTGGCCCTCCACATGTTTTTGGCCTACAACTCCCATGATCCCTAGCTAGCAGGACCAGTTGTCAGGGATGATGGGAATTGTAGTCTCGAAACATCTGGAGGGCTGAGTTTGAGGATGCCTGCTCCAGATGTTGGACTAAAACTCACATCATCCCTGACGGTTGGCCCTGCTGATGGGATCTGTAGTCTGACAACATATGGAAGGCCCTTAGGGTCTAGACTACTCAGCAGTGGGCACTTGCAGATCACGGTTGTATTTTTAAAATACAAAGTTTAGTCAAAACTGCTGATTCACCCTCCTTTCTTTTGTTTTTTGTTTTTGCTTTTCGTTTCAGCCACGAAGACTTCGAATTCATTTCAGGAACTCGCATGCGCAAAATGGCTCAGGAAGGACAAAATCCTCCTGAAGGCTTCATGGCCCCCAAAGCATGGACTGTGCTGAAAGAGTATTACAAATCCTTGGAAAAGGCTTAGGCTACTTATTTGTTGCAGATCAGCCTTTGACGTTTGATTTATTAGCAAGAAGGAGGACCACACAATCGCCGTTTTGGTGCTGCTTTGTTGTCGTGTCTGTCAGGAAGCATTTCCTCTAAAAAACACCAGGCCCTTTCTCCTTAACTTAGCATCGTTTTCTGCTTCTCTTATGGGTTCCATTACTTATTGGCACCTAACAAACTGCTGGTTCTAATGTCTTCTATTTTTATTACAGTTGATATTCTTGCAGTAAGTTTTCTAAACCTCGTCTTTCTGAAACATTATTATACCTATGTGCCCTGCGGTTCTCAGTGCTGCTGAAACTCTTCCCCTCCCTCCTTTCACATTATTTAATGTATCTCATGTCTTTTTCTGTGTGGGTATGTTGCTTTTCATAGTTTACGGGCTAAATATGGCAGTTTGATTATACCAGCTAGATATAGGTGCTAAATCGAATCAAAACGAAAAAGATTTTTAAAAAGATACTAACCTTGTACTTTTCAGCCAGTGCTCTTTGAAGTTCTTGTATGGAATCTCCAGAATAGACTACACTGTATTGCAAATTAAACTTTCTGTACCAAATCTGTGAATTTTGTGGTTGCCAATCCTCAAGCATTACTGATTTTTTTCCCTCACATACTTGTGGTAGGTTTAACACAGTTGCCTGCTTTTTTTAAAAAAAAGTTTTGCAGTTTTCTCTCTAACCTCACCCTGGTCTTCTAACATCACATTAATATTTTTTATTTGTTGAAGAGCTGGTTGTCACTTCCATTGGATGACTATCACTTAAGATACACTTTTAGGGAGTAGGAGCAGGGGAGCTACTTCAAAGGTGCTTCCTTGAACATCACTCCTTTCTCCTTTCAAAACATGATGGTAACATACCCTTTATATGGGAAAGAGAGTCAGGAAAGTCAATGTTTGCTAGGTCTTGTCTCCTCATTACTTAGACACAATGAGTTGCATCTAAAGATGTTCTGCTCCCAGTAGACCCATTGCAATTAAGACTCGCTACCATCAGCGTGGACAGCACTGAGTGAGGTTGACCAATGGTCTTACTCTGTATATATGACAGCTTCCTATGCTCATCTCAAGTCCTGATCATTCTAATTCCACAACAAAGTATGTTGCAGTTGTAGGTGCGTAAAAGCTAAACTAAGCTTTTTATAAACACCAAGGAAATGAGAAGAGCCATAGGGTGCTTTTCCATGCATTTGTTCTTTCAATATTAAGTGAGTAACACTAACAGAGACCCTAAAGTGTGGGCAGAAATATGGCAATGCAAAGAGAAGATTGAGGAGGAAGAAGGTGGGAGGAATGTAATTCAAATTATTTATGTATCCTGATGGGTAATGTCAACAGAAAAAAGGCAGAGTTTAAAATGGCTGTGGGGAAAATTTGTGGTAGGCTTCCAAGACTAGGTCTGGGAAACCTGTGATCTTCCAGATGTTGTTGGACTACAACTACCACCATACAACTCCCACCAGCATAGTCAGAAATGAGTTAGAAAGACCCTAGGTGGAGATTTCTGAGAGTGACTTCTGCTTGAGACCATGGGATATTACATTAGAAAATGCTGACCTAGGTGTTCCAGTTGCTTCACTCTTGAGTAAATGAGCTCCTTCTATTCATATGAACTTTACATATAATGCTCACAAAGGTGATGGTATAGAATGCTGATGCATGACAGCAAAACAGTAAAATTGGGCACTTTATTCCAGCTATTGAGGATTTGCCATTTCCTTAGCTTAGCAGATACTTGGATGCTACATCTTTGAAAGGGATGAGGAGGAACAAGTCATTTTCTGTTACTGCATTACTTCTGTAATGTCCAAAGAATGCACAGTGGTACCTCAGGTTACATACGCTTCAGGTTGCATACGCTTCAGGTTACAGACTCCGCTAACCCAGAAATAGTGCTTCAGGTTAAGAACTTTGCTTCAGGATGAGAACAGAAATCGTGCTCCGGCGGCACGGCGGCAGCGGGAGGCCCCATTAGCTAAAGTGGTGCTTCAGGTTAAGAACAGTTTCAGGTTAAGAACGGACCTCCGGAACGAATTAAGTACTTAACCTGAGGTACCACTGTACTTGCATATCTGTCCCATAGGGAGATGTGTGAGTTCTAGATACAGTGATACGACAAGTGAATCCCATCTTCAACTCCAGGCGCTGTGGAAGAAATTAGAATGGCATGTTGGCTCCTGTTAACTCCTGCTAGATTTACTGGTCCAAATTGTCTCTTGTAAACCAGTGAAGTTTTCCACCTGGTTTCTCTAAAGCAGACTTCCTTTTGAACCTTTCCCAGTTCTACTCAGTATATGACAATCTATCCAAAGACCCTCTCTTCTTGGATCATATTGAAAATCTTTTCAAGCAATGTCTTTGGGTCATTAACTTTGAATTTAGATACAAAATTCACGGAAGTGATACTTTTCCTGTCTAGCTATGGTCCTTGCCAGTGTGCTGAAATCTTCCGTTCTTAATCTTGCGCAGAAGGACCATATGTTTGTCCTAATCCTGCTGTAACCTTGGAACTTTTATTTGCCCCTATCAGAAATCATCCTGACACATGGAGCATGACTGCCTCAGGGCTGGGAGGAGGGTGGAGAGGGAGAGTAATAAAATAAAACTCTTGATAGTTTTGAAGAACCCTAAAATCAATGAAGCAGGAGAGTGGGGGACACTCTCCTTTCCCCTGAAACTGAAGTTAATGAGGTGGATGGAGTTTGCTAAATCTTGGTGAGGAGTTGAATAAGTGCTATAAAACCATTACAGTTCATCAATGAGATATCTATTCCAGATGATGCTTTCTTCTCTAACCTACTTTAAGTGACGTCAATTATTCCCCTGGGGTCAACAAAAAAGCTAAAGGCTAGGTATATGCCACTTTGCAAGATGGAGGCTCCAAGTTGTTTATTTTTAAGGCTATATAAATTCACGTGCAGAATCTGAGGTCCTGAACTTGGATGGAGAAGTCACTCTCTTAATGAAGATTAAGGGTGCTGGCGTGGATCTGGGATGCTCAGTAAGAGATCTTAAACCCTGGATTGCTCAATAAGTACTACCAGACGTGGGACTGTTGCATAAAGCTATTAAAGAAAAACCCTGGAGCCAACCCAAAGGTCTACATTGCAAATAATACCACTAATAAAAATCAGTAAGGAGAAACCACAATGGATGTATTTGTGGGTTTCAGTTTTGTTGGTCTTTGATTGTCTGAGAAGATTTGCAAGTGAAGCACTGAAGTCAGCCCTGTTGACTGATTCTTAAAAGAAATGGGCCACAAAGACCTTGGTAAGCAAATTTTTAAACAGAAGCTTTATTCTAAAAGGAGCATTGTGTTTGGCAAAATGGCATCATACCCTTCTGGTGTGATCTTGGAAGGTGTTTTAGCGGTGTAAATGTGAGCCATGCTTAGTGTATTGTGGACTTACACCTCCAAGGCCCATATGGTGTGAAGTGATCTTCAGAGTCCTCAGTCAAAGGGGCCGAAAAACATTTCCTAGGCTGTTCTAAACATTATTGAATTGCCCATTAATTTTCTCTCCTCATTTATAGAATGATCATTGACTTAACGCTGCCTAATTTTTGTGTTGCTTGTGTTTCTAGCAGGATAGGTCAGCGGTTAACTTCTGAGAAGTTCCACCATCACTATCCCATTCTTTTTGATGAAGGAAAGAAGGGAAATTATAAAAGTGGAAAAAATAGAAGATGAAGAGAAAGGGGCAAGACTCGGAATTGGAACTGAAGACTGCATCTTGCCAAATAATTATTAAATTCTCTGCATGGCACCCCTTAGCAATAAATTAAATTATATGGCCGATAGTCCAAGAAAGGCACATTAAAGTTGTATTGAAATGAATGGGATTAACTAGTCATGTTGATTTTAATAGGAGCTAGTAAAGGTAAAGGGACCCCTGACCATTAGGTCCAGTCGTGACTGACTCTAGGGTTGTGGCGCTCATCTCGCTTTATTGGCCGAGGGAGCTGGCGTACAGCTTCCAGGTCATGTGGCCAGCATGACTAAGCAGCGCACGGAAACGCCGTTTACCTTCCTGCCAGAGCGGTACCTATTTATCTACTTGCACTTTGACGTGCTTTCGAACTGCTGGGTTGGCAGGAGCTGGGACCGAGCAACAGGAACCGCTGACCTTCTGATTGGCAAGTCCTAGGCTCTGTGGTTTAACCCACAGCGCCACCCACGTCCCTTTAATAGGAGTTAAGCATGACCAAAGTCCCCTTCATGCGATGAGCAGGATGCAGGGGCCGTGCTGCAGGCTGTGCCAGCTTCCACCTGCTGATGTTGATGCATTTATTGTGGCTGACCAGCTGCTTATGTGTAAGTGCTCCTCTTCATGCTCAATGCACAGGCCTTAGGATTTGGGCCAGATGGGCCTCTCTAGTCACTGCGTTCCCTCCTTGCACACATTATATGCATGGACTTTTTGTGGCTTTGGCCACTCATGCTAAAGACCACCTCTTTCCCTACAGACCATCCTGGGTGTTAAGAACCCACTGTGGTGCCCTCCCAGTGTTGTTGGATTCCAGCTCCCACAAGCCAGAGCCAACATTGTCATTGACCAGAGATATTATGGGAGGTGTATTTCAGCAAGATATGGAAATGTAATATAATGCTGGCTACTCCCTGCAGTGAAGTGATGTGAAGTTCTTTCTCCACTGCTGGATTTCTGTAGCATTCACACATGAAAGTGTGTGCTTGATGCTGCCATCAATGCAACTGCGCAAGCAGCCCTGAGACCTATCCCTGAGTGAAGACTAAAAGAATCAATGCAGGGCAATGGATAACGGCACAGCTGTTTAAGAGGATGCAGTCTTAAGCATGCTTAGAGAGTTAGTCCCACTGATCACATGCTATACATGCTTACTTTTAAGTATAGCTATTCCCTTAAAAGCCTAAGAGGATCAATATGCATTTGCAAAAGAGTAAACGTTAGAACAAGTATTTCTGTATGAGCGTTTATGCACATGTAAAAGGAATTTAGAAAAATGGGAGTTAGGGAGGACATGTCAGAAATGTGTAAGATTATGTACGTTGTTGAGAAAATGGAGAAAGGAAGCTTTTTAAAAAAATCTCCCTTGAACTTAGGGCTATCCAGTTAAGCTGAACGTTGGAAGTCTTGGAACAAACAAAAGAATGGACTTCTTCACGCAGTGCAAAGTTGGACTAGAATTTGTTCCCAGAAGATGTGAGGACTGGGCTAACTTAAAAAGATTAGACAAATTCATAGAGGATAAAGCTATATTCTACCTCCACTGTTGGAGGTGCTGTTCCTTTGAGTACCAGCTGCTGGTGATCAAGTTGTCTTATTTGGGTAGAGACTGGTAAATGAAGGGCAAAATTTGGCTCTTTCATGACATGTTACTGCTTTATTACCAATTTAGAGATATAGACAAAAGAGATATATGAAAGAATGACATTGGTGGTAGTAGGCCGCAGGCTTTTCGTCTGGGGCTTACGGCCTACCATGTCTATTCCTGGTCCTTTTAAAAGAGGCCTTTTGGGGAAACTGGTTGCTGACCAGGAGATTAGAGGCTTCTCCTGAAAGTTCCTACAGCATACCATGCAAAA